ACAGAAGCTGTCATGCTCCTCACGTCCCCACCTGGAACATACGTAGATCTGAGCTATTACTGTTGTGGAGAAACTTTGAGTGCTCCTCTCTAGTATCTTAGCATGCCCATATGCCTCCCTCTCTACTGAATTGAATAACACACACAAGTGAATATGAGCTAAGGATGAATTGCATTCTGGGCTTATCAAACCAAATGGATTAAATCCTGAAATGAGCCATTTCGCAGGCGTTGTGTTTCTTAAAGAAATGTATCCACTGATTTGCAGATGTCTCTTTCCCAATGTAAGTCTCTAGAAAAACATCTTTTTGGGCCACAGGGCATCTCATGATAGACCCCGAAAATTGCAGTACCACTGTTTCTTTCTGTGATAGCCCAAAAAATACATCATTGATGTTAACAAACACAAAAAGAGTCTATATCTACTCGGAATTTCACGTGGAGCCCCTTTGACATGTAGCCTCTAGGCTAATTAGAATCAAATGGCCCACACTTTCACATATACCTTTCTCCATACCTTCAAACTACCATGCCCTACTTCCAAAGCAGTTAAAATGAAATCAAAGTGCGTAGTGCATAGGCATTCTCAGAGTATCACTTGAAAGCCCTGGGCTGCCCATGTCAATTGCTCAATCTCAAAAATGAGATACAGTTTAAAATAATTAGCAGGGTAAAGGTATGGAAACTTTGGGATTCATGACCCTACATGTTAAATCACATGGTCACATTATTTTTCTTGCCCGACTCGCCTGAGGTTATTTAAACATATCAGGTTCAGGGGCGACCTAAAGCTCACCTGATAGAGTGTTCACCACATACAGGCTGAGTCCTTGCAGCGACCCAGATTCAATTCCAACCTGTGGCCCTTTGCTGCATTTCCATATGCACCTTTTCCTGTCATTCTTAAGCTGTCATATATTTAAAGCAAAAGCTGGAAAAACTAACCTTTAAAAAAATAAACATTCCAGATTCAACCTTTACTCAAACATAATTCTAGCTTGCTGGCATACATGGAGGGAGAGACGGACTGCAGTGAGAAAATGAAGAAACATACATGATAAACAAAATGTCACTCATTAACATATTGTTACGCAGAGCAAGGCTATGTTAAGAGGTGGCCCAGTTACGAATAAGGTTTTCAAGTATACCAAAAATAAAAAGATTAAAACTGCACATGAAAGTAATTTTTGCCTTTATGAGCATGTTATTTACTTGTTACTAAAAGTATTTTAATTGAGAATCATATGACAACGCCAGACAAAGTCGGATAATGTTAATGAATTCTCTAAATGTTATCATATTTTTTTAAATAATCCTGTTAAATACATAAATTGAGACAGTAACAAGAGCTTGGAAAATAAAACTTGCACAATAATTTTATGTCATTATAATGAGTTTGCTTTAGACAAGTTCGTTACCCACATTTAAATGTTGCAATGTGATTTAAACTGCAAAAATGCCTGAAAATCTTTTACAGTATTTCATCATGCTGTTGATATTTTCTCAACTCCATAAAATGAAAATATGCATTTTTAGGGGGAAAAATAGCATTATCCTGCCCGACTGAAATTGGTACATGGCATGACACCATGTGAGTTTTTTTTTAATTGTCATTTAATGAAACAAATCAATTTGTGTCCCACACCACAAGCCTGAAAAAAAGCCTAATGACTACATTGATAATATTACTTTTAAAGTTTTAATATAAAATAAAGGTCATGATGAACAGCATTATAGTAGCAATTAAATGTGCATTGTTGATGTAATATTGTCATATTTCTGTCTATTATATGCAGCAGTGCTTTGAGCTGAATGCTAACATCAACATGATAGCCAAACATGCTAACAATGACAATGCTAACATGCTTTTGTTTAGCAGGCATTGTGTTTATCATCTTAGTTAGCTTGTCAGCATGCTAACAATTTCTAATTAGCGCTAAACACCAAGCATTCAAAGAAAGTATTTGGTCTGTTGTCAAGTTTACGTATTTCAATTACATATGAAATTTCCATCACATTGAGTGCACTTATTCTAACATAAAACAAACAAAAAAAAGTATTTATGTAATTAATTCAAATAAAACTGAGATAAGTAGACTAGGAAAATGTATGTAACTAAACCTCAATGAATTTACCTAATTAACTTTAATAAAGTATGTGTAGTTACTGTTATTGCATAATAATAATAATAATATGTTCATCAACATATTTGAAATACATAGATTTTATTATCAGTAATTACATAAACTTAGTAAAAAGTTAATTGGGTAAATTATTTTTATTGAGCTACACTTAAGTAAATTCTCATAGTCTATTAATCTCAGTTTTATTTGATTTAATTGCATAATCTGTATTTTTTTTGGTTTATGTTAGAATTAGCCTACTTGACTTGATTGGATGGAAATTTCATATGTATTTGAAATACATTAGCCTGACATAATAGACCAAATAATTTCTTTGAGTGCCAGCTGAAGCTAGTGGGGATTTATTGAGTTTTGCAGGTATTTGGTCATAAACCAAACTATTGGACAAATAAAAAAACCTGACATGATGAGTGGACCTCATAATTCATTACAATTCATCATTTGTGGACCACATTTAATGGCAATCCATCAAATAGATGTTGAGATATTTCACTCAAAACCAAAAATGTCAACCTCATGGTGGGGCTAGACGAAAACTCAGGGATCACTAGTGTCAGAGGGATACATCCTCTGGGATACATCCTCTGGGAACCTTGAAAGCTTTATGTCAATCCATCTAGTATATGTTGAGATATTTCACATAATAAGCAAAAACTCTGACCTGCTGGTGGCACTAGAGGAAAGGTCGGGTGATCTGTAAAGTTTGTAGGGTTCATCCTCTGGGCACTGTGCATATCTGTACCAAATCTCATGGCAAGACATTGAATACTTCTTGCAATATGTCACTAAAAGCCACAACATCAACCTCAGAGCACAGACCTTGGCCAAGGCCAAATTCCCTATCTCAGAATGTAAATGAAGGCAACAAATATTTCATGTATCCACCCAGTTATGCAGATCCACTCCAAAATTTAATGGGTTCCTGTGCTTCCTCAATCAGCTTACTCTATTTCAATTCAAACCAACTTGTTAACTAAAATATTCTAGATAGAAGCATAAATCCCTTGCTAAAGAAGAGGTGGTCTGTTATTTATCAGTTAACAGCAATGTGTCTCGTCCCAAAATATGAGGCAAAACAAACCATCAACCATTCTTCCAACTGTCTCTGACCTCTGAGGAATGGAAGGAGAGTAAAGAGCAGGCTGCAGTGCTCAGAATGACACTAAATGATAGGGACAATATCTGAGAGCGTGCAAATGTTGCCATGGATCTTCTGGAGGTGTCACACTGTCTGACACATTGTTGGACACAGGCCTGACGAAGAGGGCTCGTCTCATGGGAGATGGGTGTCATGAAAGAAGAGGGAGCGGGGGGAAGAATTTTGGGCGTGCTAACATCAAGCATGGTTAGATCAGTTGGACTCTGGAGTGTTCCCTGACTAGTTTGTTTTCTTTGCACCAACTAAAGGCAAAAAATTGCTGAAATTCTGTGCCCAAAGACGGACTCATGAGATGAACAGCAGAGAAAGAGAGCAAAGTCTAGCATTTCCATGTAACACTTTTCCACCTTTCACCCCCCAGCATTGTATTATTGTTGGCGCCAATGTCGCAAAGACAACCGGATCGCTTTCGAGCCTAACTACCAGTTTCCACCATCCTCCGCTGACGCTACTGGGGGCAGAAACTGTAAGGAACTTACATGTATGCTATTTGGTAACTGGGGATAGCTGCTGATAGCTACCAGGGAAAACAAAGGCACTATCCTTTTCCTGGCTATAATGCAAACTTGGAACCAATCAGTTATCTTCTGAGGACTTCTTCTGAGGTCTGTCAGAGATCAGAGATAAGCTGAAATGACCGGCGCACCAAAGGAAGAGTCTTGTCCTGGATATCCCATGGCTATACGGGATCAGCCTGAAATATTGGCCCTCGCCCCCAGAGACTTTATCGTCATCAGACCAATAGTTGATGGGTTCTGAGAGAGTCAGAAATTGAGTCTTGATTTTCCCTGGAAATCGTACCTGGTGGCAGACAGTATTACATAGAGAAAGCAAGTCTTATAGTGAACCAGTCTAAACGCAGATGGTGTCATTATTCTATAGCCATTATGTTGTGCAATCAACATTTACTTCATCCACTTCAAACAAACTAAACAGAAAGAGGCAAATAAGTCAGCTTTTCCTTAAACAAACTGATGGCATGTGAAAACCACCCTGAACTCATTAGTCCTGAATCACTCACAGTACAAGCCTGGAGATAAATTCAGCACACCATAAATCCTGTTCAAGACATCTGCTCCATGTGTCCAGCTCGTCTCTTTATCAGAGAGCTGCTGGCTGGTAGCTGCAGCTCGATAATGGCCTGGACTGTTTACTGATCTTCGCAGGAAACTGACGCTCACGTTAAAGTGGCCTCGGCACTCGTGAGTAAAGTCCATAGCTTATGTCTGAACATATGTGAGTGAGAGTTGCTGGGGGGTATTTGGCTGTCATGAGAGGAATGTAAATTGTCTGATCTGTGAAATTCAAATTACATTCTCTATGGTTATGTATGTTTGATGCAATCAATATCCATTAAATTCCTTATAATAAAAAACAGTATACTACTCTCCTGGATCCTAATGACTGCCCATGACAATTAACACCTGTAACATTAATCAGCTGGTGTGAGATACACTGAAGATCTATCGTTGCTGAGAATGCATGAGGCAATTAAGTGCTGAACTCAGTGAAAATACAAAATTGTAATGTTAAAAAAAAAGCCTGCTTTTAAACCCTATAGATAAGACTGATTCGGAATGCAGGATCGCAACGTTCTGATCTTGAGGTCAAAGATCACCTAACAGCAGTGTGTTGGCTTACGAACAATTCTGTTAATGTTGCAGTTGTGTTAGTTCGGAGCGGAGGTTGTGGACTCACCGCTGATGGTGGGAGCCTTCCTGCTGCGCTGCGTGTCCCCACGTCCTCTCCCTTTGTCCAACTGTCTTACTTTTTGTAATGTTGACTCCAGCCCAACCTCCATACTCACACACACACACACACACACACACAGAGTAAACAGACAGCTGCTCTTGATGTGTGTTTTAGCTGGACGTGACCAAAGATCTTCTTTTCCTGTAAACGATCTCTTGCAGGACAAAAGTCTGTCAATGAGAACAAAATATTATTCTCAGTCATTTTCTGGGGAATAATTAGGAAAACACGAGAACTGAAGTTGGGGAACAGTAGCATTTTAAGGAAATGTGTCTCCATGAGAAGGCAATACTGTCAACACTGGCAAACAGAAACTAGCCTAAATTTACCATCACATTTCCCAGCATTGGGCCTTTTGGTTGCAATAGGGATTTGAACTGGCAACCCCTGAGTCACACAGGACCCCATCCCTGCCCTGCTTGTAGGAACTGGACTCATCTCATTAAAACATTCCCAGTATAGTGTTTATAAACAGCCTCTTGTTCATCCCGTGTGATAAATGGATGCTCCCTATCATTGGCTCTTCCTGCTAACTCCCCAACCCGCTTAACAATCTCTCTGCCACTGTTTCACAACCCTCCACACCAAACACACACACACACACACACACACACTGAACCCATGATATTTTCTGTACTGACCTTGCTTCCATGGTGGGTGGGCCCTTACTGTTTTGAGTGTGTGTGATTGCGTTATGTTTAATAGTGAAGGAAAGTGTGTGTGTGTGTGTGTGTGGGTGTCATGAGGGGGAAGGGTGCAACTCAGAGGCCAGTGTGAATCTGCTAATGATGAAAAACAACATGGCTGTCAAGGCCTCCCAGGAGCAGGTCAAACGTAGTCAACGGGGATGGGGTAAAAGCGAAGGGTCAAAGGTCAACATCACAGCCAAGGGCAGGCCTTGACCTCTGCTGAGCTGAAAAAAGTGGGAGGTGAAGAGAGTAAACTGTAGAAGAGAAAGAGATTTCCAATTTTTCTCCTCAATAGGAGCAGTTAGAATAAAATTCATTTTAAAAAACTAACACCATTATGAAGATACCAACACTTTACACAGAATTAAACAGAACACAGAAAAAGTGTTTTCAATTGTTTAATCTTTACAGCACACTGACCCACTGAACATATTTAATATTTCTCAAAGTACAAAACAAACTTTTGTTGTGCAAAACAGTGAGAATGAAAAAAAAAAGAAGAAAATGCGTAAATTCAACGTGGTGGTGAAAATCTGTGTTAAAGGAGCTGTTTGTGACATTCAGAGCATATCTGTGATTAAGTCTGGTGTGGAGTGCCTGTACATGGCTCTCTACATGGAGGCGGCTAAGCCAGTAGCTATCAGCTAACAGTGCTAACAGCATAAACAGTGCTAACAACACCAACAGTGCTGATAGAGCTAACTGTGCTAACATGGGGGGGCAGAGGATGGGAACTGCACTTTTGAAATGATGCTGTCATCAGTGGTAACTGTCATATGAGCGCAGTGCAAAGCTGCGGCAATGAGCTAGCCAGTGGGACACACACTGACATGCACGCATGGCCGGACCACCTACCACAACCACAAACAGAGAAGCTCAGATTACAACACACAAAGGTATGTACTTTATTCTCTGCTCAGGATCCCTTTCCTACACTGTATCTTTACATAGCAAATAGTTTTTTGCTGCTATATTTATGCTCTGAACGTCATACACAGAACCTTTAAGTGACTTTTATCACCAGTGCAAACAAAGCTGGTCGAGAGTCTGTATTAAAAAAAAGGAATAAAAAATAAAAAGTACAATAAAATCGTATGGCTACAATTAAAAAGATATCTTAAATGAACAAAAAAACATAAATGCTCACTTTTGTTGATTACAGTACTTGGTGTAAACATCAATTAAAAATGAACTAATTACAATTTACACTTGGAAATGCTTCACAAACATTTCCTCTTTTCAGACACATCACTGCAACAAGGTCAGGCTCCATGCAGTCATTAGTGTCATAACTGTCAAAGTACTTAAAAACACCAGAATAATTTGAGAAACCTGTGTGTGGTGGGGTCACCGCAGTAAGCAGGTTTCTGCCATCTATGTGAGATCTGACATCAAACTGAGGTTTTGGCTTAAAATCAGACGAAGAAGTTCAGGCTGACAGGGAGTTCCATCCATGTCCGACTCCTGAAACCCTCAATTGTCCATTTAAAACTCGAACATTAAGAGCAGTGTAAGTCATGTCACTGCAGCTGAACCCAAATGAAGAACATCACCTGGCACAGTACTTTAACAGATAAAAACACATTGTAAACATCTTGAAAAAAGAGCATAATAAATAAAACTATAAAATCAAACTAAAATGTAATACTTTCTTTCATCCTGATTTGGTTGGAAATGTGATTTTGAAGATTCACTGGAGGCGAGTGTCTGTTCGTGTCCCACCAGTACACTCTGGGGTTGTTGCTTTAGCTCCCGAGCAGAGGCGATGTCTCGTCATGGTTGGCGTCCACCTCCACCTTAGCTCTACGGTAAATTATAAACTGGACAGAGATCTGAACCAGAGCGTTAAGGAAATCTGAAGACATCCTGGGAGAGAGTCTGTTTAATGTAACAAGTGCTTAGACAGGATTTCAGCTACAAATACACATGGCTATGAGGAACAAAAGATACTATTTGACCATAACGTGAGAAAATACCTGCTGACAACCTAATTTATGGTATTAAAAAATATATCTTACTGAGTAACCAGACAGTGAGTCCTTGTCATCTGCTGTACAGTGTTGGGCCACGGAGCTCCAGACTCTAAGGACTCCAAAGTTCCAGGTTCACTGTGTGGATTTTACTGCTTTAATGAACTGCAAATGTGTTGCATAAATAAAGTAGCATTTAATCACTAAAACTGAAACACAGTCTAGTTAAACGTCTGCGGTCTAGTTTCTTTGCTGGTTAAGCTCATTATCCTCCGAGAGTTTGGACCTTTGATACTTTTGTGTTTCCACACATGCAGTCATAAGACATAAACCCATCTGATGAAGTGCCCCCTTTTCTAGCTCAGCTCTGCCTAAAATGTAGCATGTACGTGGGACTAGAGCCCAGATGCCTGGCAACGGCGGCCATGTTTGTTTCTTTAAAGGATACAGTAAGGTCTAAGGAGAGGGTGCCGAGGCTGCCGATGAGCCAGGGCAAGTGATGGACTATGTAGCTGCTCTCGCTCTGGCCCCAATCCGGGTTCTTCAGCAGGACACTCAGGCCGTATGTGGTGTTTCCCAGGATGACCAGTGCAAACAGAAAATAAGACACTCCCTCTGTCGACTTCCTTTTGAACTGTGGGGAGAAACAAGAGGACGGGAGGGGAAGTGGGAAGAACATGAACCTTTTTTTAAGGAACAGAGGATGTTTCACACAGCCACTACATATTTTCCACCACAGTGATATGTGCAGATTGCAGAGGCAATTGTCCATGCTGTCAGTGCATCATATTCATTTTCACCTGCTCAATTTTCAGTTAAAATAAATTTAGCATTTTTTACTCTGATATACACAGAATTACACATCAAAACACAACTTGTGATGCATTCATTTTTTATTTAGAGGGAGGGGAAAAGGTGGTGGAACCTGGACTATTTCCTGGACTACGCAATGTTTCTGTAAGTTATTATTAAACTTAACGTTACTTCAAACGGAGCGGGATCCCTGGCGCATCACTAGTCACCGAACCTGACAGCAGCACAATAAATGGTGTGAATTATTCAAGTAAAAAAATCAGCAAAGAATGTCACTGCACACAATGGCTCAAATGAGCTTCCTCTACTAGAAATATGGAGACTATTTTTCCCTCATCAAGATAAAGACCAAATTAGGCCAACAGTGGTAAGTTATAGTCTGTGTGCATTACTGTTAAGGTAACAAGGAATAAAGTGTGTTCATGTTTTTGTGAATAACTTTAACACTTTCATTTTATAAGGCCTATCACTAAGAAATTACTGTCAAATGTCTAAGAAACAGTTGTTATTTTATTTTATTCCGCCTGCCAAAAGTATTAAAAAACGACTTGTGTACTTAATTTGAAGGCCTGTCAAGGCTACAATAAATAGGCCTATTAAAACATATTTATTGCATTTTAATGTTCAACTGCAGTACTAATATTTCATTATAGTGATAATGGTTACAAATGTCTTGTCACACAATTTTACAGCACTAAAATAATATGGTGTGTATTTATCAAGAGCAATGAAGCAGATATTTAAAAGTAACACAAAAGTTAATTTCCCTAGTAACAAATTACTTTCTATGCAGTAATTAGTTAAATAATCCAATTACTTTTGAGAGACGCAACTAGTAATTCTAACTAATAACTTATTTTCAGTAACTCGCACAACTGTGTGTCAGACTCTTGATACTGAGTTATCTTGGTTTAAATGTTTTGAACTTGTATGTAGTTTAACCAAAATCAGTACAATGAGAAACAAAATGCCATTACAAAACAAAAAGTTTAACACTTAAAATGTGAAAGTATGCCATATACAGTGACGCTGGGGATTAGAACAAGTATTAGTATCATTTAATGTCTCCCACCTACAATATGCAGCCAACGGTACTGAGGAATCTACACATTTATAGCAGAACCCGCTTTGTTATACTCACATTAGTGTACATCTGGGGGAGTCTGGAACAGAGGTAGAGCACTGACGACACTGAGCCGATGGAGAAACCAACTATCTCTTTGGGGGTAAAAGGCTGCAGTGACAGAGAGGCAGACATGACAACATTACAACAGCACAAAAAAGGCCAGACGTAACTTGGTCACTTCCCTCAGGTCAATAATTAAACAAATAAACATGTCTCACCTTGATTTGATTACTATCGGAGATTGACAGCAAGGCGCGACTTCTGAACCCAGAAGGAGTAACTTCCTGTTGAGCATCTAACCCGGGGAGATGGGTCAGGCTTGTGGTGAAGCCCAGGACACAGGCTACACCCACCACAAGCAAAACCCTCCTGCCTGAGGAAGAGACAACACCTGGGTTCAACATCAATACTGGGAAAGACATCTAAGCACATTCCTCCAGACAATGGTCACTGTGTCGAATATCACTAGTAAGGGAACAAACACCACACTACATGTGGCACGTGATGACATCATGACAGTGTACAGCGATTAACCTCCTTCTCTGTCTGGACTAGTGTTGGATCATTGTTCATCTACACTGATATGAGAAGCATGCACATTAAGCAGCTACATCAGATAAAACTGATCTTAGAAATGAGCAGCACCTTAATAATAGCTGAATCATTACAGACTGTGGCTGCAGTTTTACACTTAGGGATCAAATACATGTTTGGGGTTAATCATTTATTATCCATATGTTAAGAAATGCCTGTGTGTAGGATTCCAAATGAGGCTCTGAAACTCAAGAGCACAAAACAAGAACCTGGTTCTTTTCTGTTTTGGAAAACTGAGAAGTGAAAAAAACAAAATAAAAACAAACATACAAAAACACTCACTTTCAGCCATTCTGTTCCTCATCTTGTAGTATAAGTACATGCCCAGCATCACCAAGTCAGCTAACACATAATAAACCGCTGTGTATGTCTAGATGACAAAGAGAAAGAAACGTGTGTCATGAAAAATTATTAAGTCATAGTATCTTGTTTTATCCTTATTTCATTGCTGCTGGTCACTGAATGTTGCCAAACATCATTTCATTATATGCTTACAATGACAATGAAGTGTTTTATGTTTTATTGTAAAGGAATTCCATTTAAAAGTCTATTTGTATTATTACTTGATAGGAATAATCTAGTAAAATGACACAAATAAGAATTTGAATAATCAATTATCTAAGTCACCGATAAAGGTACAAACAATAATAAACTGGTAATATCTCTAATAATGGGACATATCTTTTTTTGTCATTACACACATAACATTCTATAACATTTAAAATACATACTTTTATTACTTTAAATGAAAAAGACATCTTAAGACATAGTTTCTGGTTGTCGTGACTTGTCATGATTGTATATTTTACATTTTATTGCCTTAACAGTTGATTGAACAATGAATTATAGCATAAGTGATATAGAACCAACTGTTGGTAATAGCCCTCCTCTGTCATGGGAAACATCCTTACAATCAAAATCCTTATATCACTACAAGTTACCTGAAGTGGAAGCTGGTCAGCCAAGAAGGAGCCCACCAAATTGCAGGTGTCACCTCCCAACCACAGCAGCAGAAACCAAATAGAGAGGGCACTGTCCATATTCCCTGTTTTACATGAGCTGTAGTACTGTCTGCAACCAGAGACAGAAGACAGAATGATGTTAAGATAAAAGGGCACTTCCTCTATGAGAGCCACAGACACCAACACGAACACTTACGGAAGTGAGGACCCCATGAAGCAGAGAATGGACAGGAGGCCTAGGTAGATGCTGGCCATGTCTCTCGCATCTTGGGCACATTCCCCAAGCCCCTCCCAAACCCACTTGGACCCATTGGGGCACAGGGAAGTTAAGTTTCCTTCAGTCGTCCATCCTAAGTTACTGCCCGAGAGGACTCCTGCTGCCGACATATTCTGCTGTAGACAAAAAGGCTCAGTAAATATGCAATTTATTAAAAAAACATAAATACCCACATGTAGAGTTATCTGTACATCAACAACCTACAGACAGTGTTTACATGGTGCTTCTGAGACGGATAAATATAACGTTAGCTAACCATTTATCACAGACTTAGAGTTTTCATAGCTTCATCACACACACTCAATCAGCCATATAAACGACAAGAAAAAAACACATACGGACCATTCATCTCGACAAAACACATTTTCCAGTTGACTCGGTTGTAACAAGGTCAGAGGCTGCTGAACACTTAAAACAACAACAAAACAACTTGTTTAGATCCGTATTCTGCTGTTACACCGATTAACGCTAAACCAAGGCCGTTAAATAAAGTGGTGTGTGTGTGACTACATTTATAAACTGTGTCACGCTAGAAAACACACATTTTTCACACAAATAAACCCAGCAGACACCACAGAAAAAAACAACCGGTTGTTAGCCACTTAGTTAGCCAGCAGCGACAACGACAGCTACCCATTACAGACAGCTAGAACTCGCCTGTGGCTTTTAGGTCGACACCGTCGACAAAGTACCTAACTGTAAATAAATAAACAAATTCATCTTGCCTGTGTGGCCGCCGACATGTCGCAGCAGAGTCCTTAGCCGAATAAAAACCTCTCCGGGACTGAACAAACAACACGGAAACAGGCAATAAACAACCTGACCTGTGCTCGTGAGCTGATTGGTCGTTAGGCTGAAACGTCACTGTAAAGGTTCATCAAAATGAGCACGTGACTGGTGGCTAGCTCAATAACAAATCTGTCAGGTCTTCAAAATAAAGGTTTAATTTGGTTTGGGCTTATTTAATAAGAATTATATTCCTCGTCATGGGTTGAATATGTGAAGCAGACATGTCTCTATGATACATTTAACACACTGTGGGTTTAAGAAGCAGACACAGGGGAGTGTGCTGACAATTGAAAAAAGCATTTTCTATTGTTGCATCTGGTTAATGTGATGTCACAGTTTATCTACTGCACATCATGATCATTAGAAAATTATATTTATGGAAGAAAACGACTGTAATTAATTAGAGATCTTTCGAAAACATCCACTTTGAAGATTTGCTATGACTATGAAAGTTGATGAACAAATCATTCTGGTTCAGGTTTAGGATCAACATAATATCTGACCCCGACTGTCATACACAATTGCTAAACACTTATTAATTCTGTGAAACAAGTTAACGGTATGCTTTTATGTTAATATTACTTATCTGTAGAACTGGGGCAGCTTCACGATGCTAATTTCATGTTCCGGCGCTCATACATTTCACATACTCTCATCAAATACCTACAAGCCTTGTTAAATTAGATTATTTGGCTCCACATGGTGATTCAGTCATTAGTCCTAAGTCGTCATTAGCTCTGAGGCCTTCTACATTCTTCAACTAGCTTTGCATTTTAGTATGCGGCCGTGAAAAACAATACAGCTACTGTATGATAACCAAGTCCACGTGTAACCGGGGCTTGTATGCAAATGTTAATACTCAGTGGACTTAAAAGAGGTTGTATGGGTTTCGATATAAATCGTTTAACAGCTCTTCTGCTTTGTTGAATGCAGGTAACATGTGATGACACGTTAATTGTCATTATCACAATATAAGAGGTTACTTTTATCATAACGATCTGTCCTGTATCTTGTTTTCAGTTGTTTTCAAGATAACAACTGTCAAAAGAGAACATCCTACCTGGAGGAGACGATTAAAATCCGATGTCAGACCTTGAATGAAAAAGGAAAGGAGAGGATAGCACGGGCGATTTCCGGAATTATTTTGTGGTGATGCAAAAATGGGTCAGCTGACTGTGTCAGACTGACGACTCAGCACCTCACTGAGCTGATGTCAGCTGCTGCGTTTTATTTTCAGGTTTGTCATGAGTCAAGTTCCCACCGACTTCACGTGCTTCTCGTAAACTGGCTCCGACCTCTGGTTCTGTGCAGAGCCTCAAAAAAGGGCAAGAGCAACATAAAGAGGGGCCTGAAACTGACACTGCATAAGCGAGTCTATGCTTACTTCTTTCACAGAGCCATGAGTCATTGACACATTTAGGACATCAGAGTTTAACAAACTTCCACATGATAAGACTTGTACCATCTTTGAACACCTTTAAACCCTGGTTTAACACTTCTATATTCTGCGCTACCTCTGATTAAACCTTTTATTTTTAATGATTTTTTAAAAAACTTAAATTAACCATTGTTTAACCTGAATAGGCCCACTTGAGATTAAAGCCAGGAGGCAGTCCTTTTTTTTTCAGCAAATATGACAAAAAAACTTTTTTTTCTACTGTCACTACATCCTGGCAGTCAGTACACGAGGCAGATCATATATGACAAATGCTGCTCTGCAAATGTATGATTTTGTCACAATGTCACCATGTGTTCTGGTTTCTGTTTGTAGTCCAAGTAGTGTTGACCAATCACGTTTGAATGACGGCAAACAGCCGTGTGGAGAAGCGGAATCCACTACTTATCAAATGAGATGCGTTAGTATGAAATTTGCTTTTTATTTAAAATATATCTGCATTCATATGTAGATATGTGTTTATAGAAATCAGCCGAAATGAGTGTCATCCAGAACATGAAGTCTAGGCTCAGATATCTGCACCCCATCAGCCTCGCTGATCAAATAATCTGATCAAATAATAATCCAAGAATCCAGAGCCCTACAAAATGACCTCCAGCAGGCTACTGGTGTGCATGTTTCTGGCAAAACTGTCAGAAACAGACTCCATGAGGGTGGCATGAGGGCTTGACATCCGCTGGTGGGACCTGTGCTCACAGCCCAGCACCATGCAGCTCGACTGGCATTCACCAGAGAACACCAGAATTTGCAGGTCCACCGATGGTGCCTTGTTCTCTTCACAGATGAGAGCAGGTTCACAATGAGCATATGCGACAGGCATGAAAGAGTCTGGAGACGCCGTGGTGAATGTTATGCTGCCTGTAACATCATCCAGCATGACTGGTTTGGCGGTGGGTTAGTGATGGTCTAGGGAGGCATATCCTTGGAGGGTCACACAGACCTTCATGTCATAGCCAATAATACCCTGTCTGCTGTCAGGGTACCAAATCCGAAGATTGTTTGTCACGTTGCGCTGGTGCAGTGGGCCATGGGATCGTCCTGGTGCAGGACAGCGCCTGGCCTCATGTGGCCAGAGTCAGTAGGCAGTTTCTGGATGATGGCATTGATGCCATTGACTGGCTCTCTCATTCCCCTGATCAAGGTCCAACTGAGCACCTTTGGGATGTTATGTATTGATACATCCGACACTGCTAAGTACCGCTACAGACTGACCAGGAGCTCACTGTTGCCCTGATCCAGATCTGGGAGATCTTCCCGGATGTTGTTGTTTTTAACGCACTCTGTAAATTGTTCCAAATTGCATTTGTGTATGAATGTGCCATACAGAGTAACTTGCCTTGCCAGTAATATCTCCAGTTTCTCTCCTGGGCTGCTGACAGTGAGGTCTGTTGACTATTCAAAATAAAGGGGGCACTATGTTCGCAGACAGATGTAGCTGAAAATTTTCAAGCACGACGACTGAAATACCATCCACCTCCATTTGCATTGCGGTGAAGGCAGACATTTTGAAAACAGGCATCTTGAAACCTGGAAACATTAAATAAAAAATATCTCCATGGCCAGACACCACAGCACAGAGGTATGTGGGGATGTTTTATTGTTGCTTTTCTAATTTGGCCAAACAGCTCCTTTAAGAGCTCTCCGGCAACCATAAACCTACTCCACACCACACATTTTCTTTAATATATTTCAAGAACAGGTTTTATTGATGACGCACCCGAACATCTATACTGTAGGAATACCTTCAGTGGGCTAGATTCTCTTATTTACACAACGCTTCCACAAAGTCATACAAATACTTGGTAGGTTTCATGTCAAAGTATAGATATAATACATTAAGAACTGAGGACATGGGATTCAAATGTTTTATAAAGCAACCGTCACAACAAATCTACAAATGAAAATGGATGATAGAAAAGAAAAGACGATCTTTAACTTAACTACTGCAAAACAAGTCCTACTTCAAAATCTGTACAGGCGAGTTTTTGAGTGTCCATGAAATAAGGAGGAAATGCAGCTCTTCTATGTTTCTGTTGTCAAGAGTTCTGATAAAGGCAGACGTCTAATGTACTTGACAGTAATTCTTTCAAAGGCAAGGATGAGATAAACCAAGCAGTTTATACAGCGAATCTCGTCCTTTTTGTTTGCTGCCTCAAACAAAGGAGAAGTGTGGGAAGTGAGGAAGACAGTTTTCCACTTCTCTCATTTCTTTTGCGGTTTGCTCTCACTTGATGTGGACCACTTTGTCATCCGTTTTTAACCGTTTGCGTCTGGGCTGTATGAAGTCCTCCCCAGAGTCATCTGTGTCTTCGTCCTCCTTTTCCTTTGCGTCCATGCTCTCGGTTTCAGGTGTATCAGGGAAGCTCTGCCCTGGGAAAATCTCCTGCAACTTCTCCTCAAAGTACAGGCTCACTGCCTTGCCAGATATCTCCATCTCTGATCCCACCTGCAGGAGGAGGAGAAGGGGGAGGGAGAAGAAGAGGGTGAAGAGTGTTATGGAGGAAACAGGAGGTTGATGCCATTCAGCGGGAGAAATGAATGGGTTAAAGCAGGGAGGAGGGGAAGGAGAATGAGGAGACAAATTAGATCTGGTTAAGACTCTTTGTGGCAGGGTGGCCCCGGCTCAACGTTGCTGTACAGAGCAGAGATATCCTGCCGCCCTGTCCCACTGTGGCTCCATGAAGCATTTCCACAGTCAGAGTGCATGTCAAAACTTCAACAAGGCTTTCAAATACTTAATTTAAGGGTCAATGAATCAATGAGTGGGGCAAAAATAAACAATCTGCATTTTAAATGGTTGTTGAAAACTGGCTGTTGCATACTAGTTAGAACATCATGATCACTGCAAACATTTTAACACCACTGGCACATGAAAACCAATTCTGGAGATGTTACATGAAAAGGAAATGCTTAAAAGATTAACTTCAGCATTTTTTTTTAACCTGGACCCCATTTTTGCATATTTTTGCGTCTAAGTGACTAATGTGAGCAATTTTTTAAAACTGGTCCAACATTGCAAGAGAGGGCTGCGGCCAGCAGCCATGCACTGCCAGCAGTGTCACCAGATGGGGCAATTGTGCGCTGTCACTGTGCACCTATTATAAGTTATCTTTGCCACAGACAGGTTCATATTGTTATTTTAAGTGTCTGAAATGTCCCTTTACCTTTCACTTGATCAGGTGTGTTTGTTATTGTGTCCAAGTCTTACTCAAGGAAAGGTCTCGTTCTGAAATCTCACGAGATGTGACTTGTTTCAGCAAGACAATGATGAAAATGGGAGCGAGAGGGAAAAGTGTGTCGTGCTGGAGTACAGAAAGTGTAGCAGTGTTTGACAATGTGGATGAGGCCTTGAATTTGATAGTCTCCCTTATCTCTGCCACAGTAACAAACTGACTGGATCATGCAAAAAGTAAAGAGACACTTCAGACACTTGTGATAACAATCTGAGCTTATATGGCAAAAAAAACCTTTTAATCGACATATAGTCACAGTACACAATTGCCCCATCTGATTACAATGCAGGCATTGCATGGCTACTGGATACAGTCCCTTTTCTCTCAATACTGGACCAATTTCAAAAACTGTTGTTAACATCAGTCAATTAGACACAGAAATATGGTAAAATGAGGCCAGGTTGAAAAATGCCAAGTTGCCCTTTAATGCCTATCAAACATCCACTGAGGTCCCTGGTTTCTCAACAGGCAGGACACCAACAAACAAAAAACTTAATATAAATTCAAGAGTGTGTTCACAGTGGGACAACAAATTCTAAATAAAATCTGAGCCAGTTATAGGACAGGAGCCCTGAACCCAGGCGTTCACTCATATGAAGACAAAGACTGTTATCGCTGTCAGTGGTTTCTTGGTCTCAAAATGGAGTCTGGACTGATGCTCATGTGCAGCTGTTTGCTTAAAAACATTATGAACTGAAATGAACCAAATACTATGAGGGACCTTACAAGCCCCAATTTGTTTTACGTGTCTCAAATGCATGTACCACTCACATGTATATACACTTTACTTTCAAAAACGCATATACACACTAATTTTCACTTCTATATTAAAGTAAGTATTACCTTCATAAATCTACATAGACACACAGCACCTGTCAGTCTCATCCTCTGAACTGCATCCATGGGTGAGAAAGTAGAAAGTCTAGAAAGTCAGGTGAGAGGGTTGTTCTTGACCTTATCTCATTAATATAAACCATCGCAGGCATAATGCAAAGATAGGCTCCACTGTATGGCTTGACCTTTCAGCACTCTTTTCTACACTGCAGTGACAACAAAATTGAAAGTCATGTACATGTTGACGCAAATGTACTTGGGTGCAAACAACATTGCTAATTTGAAAAGTGATCAGCAGGGTAGCGGAGGGGGCATTCTTACTTGGGCACTAGGGGTGTAATGGTACACAAAAATCTCAGTTCGGTACGTAATGAAGTGAAATGAAATAAATGAAATAAAATAAAATAATATCCTGTGCCCAATAATTCGGTACAGGGTCGTGCCGAACCGAAAGTCGCGTACTGAACGGTTCGACACAAATACATGTACCGTTACGGCCCTATTGGGCACAACACAAAGCAATCATACCTAATAGGAAAATGCCCTTAAACTTTTTTCAACACCTCCAGAGACCTTGGAACCAACCACACTGCTCTTACCACCTCTCAATACAGTTTCATGTAAAGCATATAATTAGTTTTTCAGCCATTTTATGCATCATTTCTGTAGTTTAAAGCTGTGTGACTGCCAAGTCTGCTGCTCATGAATTCTGGATGCTAAGATGAAGGGCAAACACATTTCTTGGAGCCTCAGTGGGAGGAGACAGGACATCTGTTCTCGATTTGAAACGGCTTACCTGCGTATTAATCTGTTTGTCCTCATCATAAACCTGGATTATTCGAGACATCTAAAAAGGGGCAATAACATTATAACAAACACAGTGAAGCAGCAGGGGGGAAAAAGAGTTCACAGCACAAGCAGGTTAGATAATAACAGATCAGAAATCTGTTCATGACCTACTGTGCTCAAGCCAAGAGGTGGGCATAACAAATTTGTTACTGCAGAAATTAACAGCAAGTAAAGTCTGTACTCTTCGGTCCATTTAGTCACATGGGCTACAGGAAACAACAGATTATTTTAGTTAATCTCTGGTTTCTGTGTCTATCTAGTTACATTATCATCTCTATGGTGGTACATACAATCTGCTTTATTTTTTACAGACACATTTCCTGTTTTACCAAATGTCATTTCTGTCTTTTATGTTTCTTTACCACTTCTGTGTAAATAAATGCATTACTGTATGCGCACACCAAGAGCTGCAAAGGTCGCCGAGGTTGCCCAAGTAGCGCCGGCGTCCAAAATATTTTTGGCAGCTCAAGTCGCTCATGTCATCATACATTTGAACGTTCGATCATGCTTGTCAATTTAAAGGAGCCGCAAAGCAGGTTACTGCCTGGAGCACAGTGCCTTTGCCGGCTGCCCAGCCCCAAAAGCTAGGCTACATGAGTAAAGAAAGTTATATTAGCATGGATGTATTTGCCCCTTGTCTAAAAAATTCTTTCTCGATATCAACTCACCAGGCAAACCAACTACTCGGGACACAGCTTTCAACGCCTGCTCCTTTTGATTTCGGTCCCTATATATAAACAGGCTTGAATCATAAAGGACTCTGTGTCCAGCTACAGCAGTGATTAGCTGCTCTCTCATTTTGAAGTAGGAATGAATGTGTGGTAGAAACTAAAGTTTCCAAGGATATTCTCTGGGTTCCACACAAGCGATGGATATCTACTTTTTGATTGGTGGCTGGTCATTTGCAGGCAAAATGTGTCATAGCTAATTTGCATAAAATTCACGACTCCCCAACTTTCGTCTGACGCTCTGGTCACCAAAACGCGGACACTTTGCAGCTTTTGCAGCCGTGGTCGCTGGTGCCCATTGAAAATGAATTGAATCAGTCGCCTTTGCAGCTTTTGCAGCTCTTGTGCACGTACAGTTATTTAAGGATTTGTATGTTAATAGTATGCGTCAACAATGTTGTCTTTACAACTGGTGTAACCACAGAAATGAATTCATCATAGATTATGTAACTGTTTGAAAATAGTTCATTCTTAAAAAAAATATTCTCAGGGAACGCCATAGACTGACTCAATGCAACATCACGCTAACAACAACAATTACTTGCAGGTAGACAACTGGCAATTGATTTAAATTGTGCAGATATGTGAAATTTGTTTATTTCTGTTGTCATTTTCAGCCATAATTGTCACTTTAAAAAATATATAAACACGGTAGCACGAAAACTAAGCAATGTACTGCTATGGACAGGAGCCACAGCAAAACGTATTTAGGCCACCTAAAAAAATCAATTGGAGTATACGTTATATTTGGAATTTTTCATCACTTGACCTTACACACTAACTAACTGATCAAGGCAGCAATAGACCGTCAACTCCTGTGCTCTGCAAAATGACTGTTTATGTTAACGGAGTCTTGTGGCTTTGAGATAACAGCTTCAGTTTCTATCCGGAAGTTACTGTAAACAAACATTGTGATTTGGTCTATTAACATCGTCAAAGACTTTAATTAACCAGTGCTTTACGTACTGCTGCTCTCCAAAGCACTCCATTATAACTTCTGATAGCCTTTGAAAAATGTCATTTTCCTTTTTTTCCTGTTCCTTTAAGTCTATGAGTAGGTTTATAGGCAGATTTTTTCTTGAAATTGTTTTTCCTGAGCATTTAAACAGGACAGCCATACTTAGTTAATATTCTGTATTTTGTTGATAATAGCTCATCAGAATATTTTTTTTAATGACCATATGTAGAATTATTAGATTTTTCTTGTGTGTCTATGCTATGTGTACATAGGTTCTCATTAAAAAATGACCGACCAACGCTGACTAATTGCACAACAGTTAGACAGACCAATAGCTGCTCCACAGACAGTTTTTCTGCCTTCAGAAAGATGTAACACTGAAACGAGCTTCAATCTATCTTGAATATAGTCCTTTATTTGTGTTGTCATGAATGGTGCCCTATGTTACCTAAATAGTCACATAAGTAATTACGCACTAATTAATGACTTACAAATTATTTAATCTAATTACATTACAGTAATGACGTCCTTCTGCTGAAATGTCTCCCCCTATAAAAGTCATGCAAACTAAAATGACACAAGATGTATCGAGCATTACCAACATCCACCTCAAGTGACGACCCTGCTTGCTGTTAATTTTGGTTGCATAATAACAAATGTATGGTGAGGTTGTCCTGCAGCTCACAGCCTTAAAATTCAACATTAGTCAAATGAAGTGATGTCTCAGGGTAATCTGAGATGTCACCTTTTTCACTTCTTGATAAAACAGAAGCTAACTCATGTGGTTGGAAGTTGGAATAGATGATCATACACAGTATGCTTCACAGTAGACCCCTCTAGGTGACATATCAAGCAAGACTGGGTCTTTTTTTTAACACACAGAGGGTACAGGGAAGCATAAGCTGACACCCACTACAGAAAATCAAACAAAATAAATACATCCAACATAGAGTGAAATTAACAAGTCCCCCATAGAAGAATATGAAAGTGACCACAGTGACCCATAAAAAACCAAACAGATGGTGTTAACAGGATTCAGACAGTCCTGCAGCCAGTGTAAAGAGAACACAGTGACACCTCTATACTACGTCCTCTAACAGCCAGTGTTAGTAGGGGTACAAAACTGTACACACATTGCAGGCCATTAGCACCCCTTCACACTTCCTTTTCCAATGTCACCCTGTGTCTTCACATAAGGTTAGACCAATATATTGAGGGGATCCATATTACCTAACAGACAAATAAATTGTTTTATGTATTCATTTCATTGTTCACTTATGTTTTTGCTAAAGAATTATTCCTTTAAAAGGCCTACCGCATTAGCCCAAAACTTTCTGTAAATGAAAGTGGTCAAATGATTTAATCTAAGCTATTTAATTAGCTGATGGCAATTTAAAATTCAACTCATATCAGTCTAACCCTTCTCTGCATGCGCACACCCACGCACACACGCACACACACACACACACACACACACAAGCAGATGCCATTCCACAAAGCAAAGCTATGACTCATGCTGCTCACCTCATTGTACTCTGCACAGTTTTTGAAGACCAGGCGCATATCAGACACAAACTCCTGGACAGACTGGTAGTACTGGGAGCTTCGTAACTGCAGCCTCTTCTTCACCTTCTTCAGATCCATCGGCTGCTTGATGATCTTGTAGTAGTTCGGCACCTTGTTGAAAAAAAAAAAAAAAACCCTGGGTCAGACAACATCTTGAACTATTTCAGAGCATACCAAAAAGTTTTTATTTGCCTTGAACATGAGAGCCAGAGGACAACGTGGCTTGCAGTTTGGCAAAAACAACAGAAACATAGAAATCAGAGCAACTCTAAAGTCAGTGGAGCTGAGGTTTAGGTTTGGATAATAAGTATAACTTTTTTGTGCTTTAGGGGTTGGTTTGGTTTTCTTGACAAAAGGTGGTGTTACCTAGTAGTAGAATTGATGATATAACATTATATTATTATTATTACTAATCAGCTATTAACCACAGAACAAAAAATGGTACATTTAAGTATGCAATACAATAAAACAAAACAAAAAAAAAAATACCAGCACACAAAACACAAAAAGGAGTTTTCAGTGCATTTCAAAACTGTCCTAGTTTGTAAAATGGGTAAAAAAGTATCTTGGAATTTTAACCAAAAGTTACAGGTTTCTGGTTAACATTGGAACATTTATTTTTTGCTTTGTAATTCCATGTGGAAACAATGTCTACTTCAAACATCTCAATTACTGTTTAATCTGTTTCAACAGAACAACAATAAGGATTAGCGTATGTGGTTAAAAAAACAAAACATGTCTGCCACTAGGGATGTTCCTAATGACTAATTTCCCCGTGGACTAGTCTAAAGGAAGATGACACTCACAAAACATTCAGAACTGAGCATAATTGATTCTATAAGGTTAATAAACATTGTCCCAATTAATATTGCGTGTATAAGAACCCATGTGAAATCGTTAATCACATTTTTCACAAACCATATCACGCTGCTGAAATATGTGGCACTTTGCGCCAATGGTTATGGACATCAAACATTTTACTATGAATCGTGACAACAATTAATTAAATTAAAGTTGCCAAATAACATTTAACATCCCAGATCATCCCTATTCAAAAATATATTCACTCACACAGTAACTCTCATGTATGAGCAGAGCTGCAAATTGATACAAACACACACCACATACATCCAGGCTTGTCTAGATCTCTTGTGCACCCAAAAGCACCTCTCTGGTTCAGCCTAGTAAGAAGACATCCAGTGTGTGTGTGAAGGGAGAGGGAGAACCATTGATGATTAAAGCAACTGCTCATGTTGTATGTAGATCTAAATTCAACCCATTTTCCTCTGGGTATCTTTATCTAAATTTTTTTTTTTTCCCCCCAGAGATATTTTTAGGGCATTTTGCCTTTAATAGACAGGACAGGTTAGTTTGAAAGGGGGAGAGAGAGAGGGGGGATGACATGCAGCAAACGGCCACAGGCTAGACTCAAACCTGGGCCGCTGCGGCAACAGCCTTGTACATGGGGGGCCTGCTCCACCCACTAAGCCACCGATGCCCCAGGCATCTTAATGAGTTTAAGAGGCTAGTAATTCTGGCATCAACTAGCAAAGGTAGCAATGTTTAATAGTCTAGTCGACTCATCGTGCAAATCCCTATTTGCCACTACTTAGGAAAGAAGGAAGGAACAGGACAGAAGGTATATGATCTGGGCCTGCGTGCATGCCTGCATCTGTGTGTGTGTGTAAGTCATGTGCAGCTACTTACAGAGCTAGGAACAGGTTCCCTGAAGCCCACGCTGAGCTCATGACAGAAAATGTGCAGCAGGAGGCGTTCACATTTCTGCAAAGAGAGGAAGAGACAGTATTAGCTGCCTTGTGCTAATCATATAGAGGCCTTTAAGGGTGTGGGGTGGCTGTACTGACCCTTTGGTCCTCAGGACTCAGGCCCTGCACTCCTTTGAATTTCTTGCTGTCGTCACAGTACTCTATTTCTGGGGTGGTTAGACTCCGGCAAAACGTGCAGAGAAAGTCCCCCCTGAGACATAAAAATAACACAGAGGACATTATGTTAACATTACCTTTCATCTGCATGGTCAAATAACAGCAGCCAGAGCCAAATGTTTAGAGAAGATCCAGAACATTCAGAATAATATGGAGTGGTGTACTCAAACATTAGGTCTGGACTGACAAATCTGCAATGGCAGTAAAATTCTTAGCAAAACACACCACCAAAGAAATCACCTGTACTGATCACTTACGTTGGGAAGATTCTTATGGTGGGTACATGGCATTTCATGTGGAACACTTTGGGGCAGCGGTCACAGCACAGCAGGTCCCCACCATTGATACAAACAGCACACCAGTCTTCATTAGGGTCGTCTTCTTTCCCAAGAGAATTGCCTGTTCCATCTGAAGCCCTGCCCTCTTTGGTCTCTGCCCCCTTGCCTAAGTTTCCATTAGTGAGCGGAGCGCCTGCCGTGCTGCTGTTTGCAGATGATAACGAGGTAGTGGAGGTCGTAGTGGAAGAGGAAGTGGCTGCACTGGAGCCATTTAGTCCAGAACAAGGCGTCTCAGATTGGGGTTCTGTTTTGATGCGCTCCCCTAAAGCCTTGAGAGCATCTTGGCCAGCAGATACGACTCCCATCACAGGAAGGGGGCTATTCTCTGGACTGCTCATCTGGGGGTACAACACACACACAAAAAAAAATTAGATCATTTTAAGACAGTATGATAATCTTCTGAATGACTGTATTAATTTAACACATCTTACAATGCTGTCTGTAAGTAGTATTAAGATGCAGAAGTGATGTCAAAAAATAAATGACATGAAGCAAGGTTCAGTGTTTTTCCCCATCTGCATAGGGGGCAGAGCCACTGCTAAATGATTAGCTCTGCCGCTACATAAAAATCTCCCCATTCACTATTAGCTTGCTCCTACGAGCTAGGATTATAAATCGGACACCCCCAGGTAAGGGTGGTCCAATTGTTATTGGCTGATATTCATTCTAAATTGTTTGAAGGCCGTTCAGAAGATGTAAAACCCGCAAGACTGTTTCTCTGTGCGCCACTAAAAAAGCTTCACTGGCCTTAAATTTCTGTCAAACTGTATCTTACACAGAACATTTATTTTTACATTCATGGTTTACTGCTAACCTGACATCCAGCTCACCTGCCTGTCCTGAGTGCAAACCCACTGTCTCTCTCTCCTGGCTCTCCACACACACACTGTACTGAAGAGTTCTGCAAAGGCTGCGATACACTCAGCTGTTTCTTGAGAGTGTTTACATTTAGCTTTGATTTGTCGTGATAGTGCCCACACGACTGACATGGCATCTTTATGTATACTAGCTCTTCCTCGTGTGCATGTCACCAGAATTTGAGTTGCTTTGTCTGTGACTGAAAACGCAGGGTTGATTAGGGGAGACCAGGGGCTATTGTCACAATCTAAAATAAAATTCACACACTTCAGGAAAAAAACCTAGGACAAACAATTCAATTTATTTCTTCACTTTTCTTTTTCCTCAGTCCTAGTACATGGACGATCTTTTAACCATCTCCCATTTTGTCTATACTGTGTTCCCATTTTCCATCTTCCCAATTGTCTGTTACTTACAATACAAAGCACATAAGGCAAAGATTGATGGACTCTGAAATCATCATGCATGTCATAAGCCCTGTTTCCACCAAGCACTAAGTTACGGTACAGTTCTGTTTTCACTGCGAAAAGTTGTGGATGGTACCAATGGAACCGTTCCTAAACGTTACCATCTTTGGTCCCCCCTCTGTTGAGCTACCGAGCACACAGATCTGGTACTAAAAGGTGGAGCTGGGAACACTGCAGTATGATTGTCAGTAGAGGACGGTCACTCTGCTCAGGGCTGAGCTGTGGCTGGTTTTGAGGCAGAAGCTACAGTTCATATTGTGGACAGTTTAATTAGTAGACTGTAACTATAAAATATAAGTATGTTTTGCTGCTTCTTGCAGCAGCCGGAGTTAGAGTGAATAACTTCATTCACCGGGCCGACTGCTGGGATTTTTAAGGTGGAACATTAACTTGTAATGTTACTCAATGCATGAGCTGACGACGTGACTCAATCAACACATCTTAAATATTCCACATGACAACTTTGACCATCACTTAAGTTTTTATAAGACATACACTTTTGGTAATGAGTGGATCTTCAAGCATTTATATGTATTAATTTCGGCCAGGTTATGTAAACTGCAAATATTCTAATCCTAACTCGGAGAAAAAAAAAAGGGCCGCGTAGCGTCGCGCTACAGCAACACTAATCCCCTGTGCTTGCCTGTGATGGACTTAATGCACAAACCCGCTATTTTTAAATATCCCATGGAGAGAGACTCTCACTGCACCCTGTTTAATTTTGTTCTGAAAATGTCAGCGTGCAGCTAGACTCACAAGTCAGTCTTTAGACGCTTTGCTTAACTAAAGACTTTCTCCCTGATTTTGTGTTTAGATGGGCGGATACAATTTCAGAGTTTAAAAAAATGCCCTACATTGCAGAACCAGTAGTAAATCTGCAGGGCGGTCCTTCGGTGGCTCACTGAACTCTTGTGCTTGTAAACATAGTCCCACTAGAAACACGTGTAGCTGTACAAAATGGCTCAGCCGTGCTCGCAGAAAACTCCGTCAAAGTTAGTGGATGTTTGTCGCGTTTGCGGCGACACATTCTCGCCAACTAAAAGAAACAAACATAATCTTTTACAAGGCCATGACTCAGCCATCCGGCCGGACTATAGAGGCAATCGCCTTGTAAACAACAAGGCGATTCCCTCTATAGTCCGGGTAGAAAACCAGCAGAGCTTTTAGCTATATATATAGCCTATGTATCACATTTTTCACATCACTGTATCATCGTTTAGACTAATCCGATGTTTGTAAAGTCTATAAACACCATGATTGAACAAACATTACTATTTCTGTGTGCACGTTTAGCTGGGCTAACCGTTAGCTGTTAGCCCTGTTAGCCGTTAGCGGTGTCTGTAATAGGTAATAACTCATTAAACGGTCCGTGAAAAAAATATCTTTTCCAGCGGATATCTTAGTTACAACATGATTGAGCTAGCAAAGCAGTTTTGTGTTACTATGTGTGATATTTATTCAGTTTTGGGAAATCACGATGTCTAGAAAGCATCAGCTGACAGGGACAGCTAACACTAGCAGCAAAGCTAACATCAGGACGTCATCCGTTAAAAGCCTCCCATTGTCGGATACGACATGAAACTACTCCAGTTAGCTCAATCATGTTGTAACTAAGACATCCGCTGGAAAAAATATTTTCTCACGGATGAGCACATGTTTGATAAAACGGAGTTTAATCTCTCGGCATCCATTTTCAAGCTCTCTGTGTGTTTGTTTCCTTGCGGACGAAAAAAGGGGGAGCGCACATTTCCGAGAAGACGTGTCCTTTTCAAAAATGCAAGAGGCGTTGCTTTGTTGCCAGCCGTTTTCGCCGGTGTGGTAAACACACTTTAGAAAGGAGTGTCCCCAGACTATCAGAAGGCGGAGATCTCTGATTGTCTGGTGGCGAGACTAGCGTGCAGCATCGTTCTGTGGACAATAAACAAGGAGCAGACTTCCATCTGTGTCACCGGTAATGAGGAAATACAGTGAGTGCTGGATGGAGCAATGAATGACAACAACCCCGAACACTTTAGGCCCATTTCCACCGCAGGAACTTCGGGGTAATTTTATGGGGCCGGGGCCGTTGGTGCGTGTCTCCACCGCAGGAACCACCCCCGAAGGACAGAGTTCCGGAACTTTTACAGGGGCTTAACAAGTCCCTGCCTCTGAGTAGTTACTCAGAACGGCCCTGAGAAACTCCTGGCTGTGTTTTGGGTATTACTTGGTGCTGATTGGATATACTCAAGGCGGGATGTGATGTTTTGTAAATAACAACATGGTTATCGTAGATTAGCTGGGCTAACCGTTAGCTGTTAGCGGTGTCTGTAACAACTCAATAAAGGGTCCGTGAAAAAAAAAAAATTTTCCCAGCGGATATTTTTTCACGGACCGTGACTGTGGAGACACAGCGGTTGAGAGGGCAGAGCGAGAGGACGTTCCTTTAGTAGTTCCTGCCCCCCAAACAGTACCAGGAACTTCTTCAGTGGAAACGGGCCTATTTAAGGGTACTGTTTGCAGTGAAAACGCTAGGGTCTAGATACCATGTCTGAAGGGTTACTTTCGGTCAAAGGTACCATACCAAAAGTGTTTGGTGGAAACCGGGCTATACATGGTGCAGAGTGATGTGGCTGAAAATGTTATCACAACAAAAATTCAATATTTCCTTGAAAGAAAGATTCTCTGTTTCTGGCCTATTAAGCCAATGTTACCAGTTATCTGACATATATATTTTTTGAATATATAAAGTATTCATACCATGCAGGCACTCCTTCCGGCATCCGCGCCCCGCTCAGTCTTCAGAGAAGAAGCTGGACAGCTATAGCTGTCATCTGTACCAGGTTCCTGCTTCACCCTTACCTGCTCCACCGCAGTACTACTTCCTGGTCCCGCCCTCCCTGCAGAGCTACAGCTTAAACACACAAAAAATAATCCATGCAGAAACATTAATGTAATTGTTTAAACATAAACATCATCAAACCAAATAACTACTAATTATGACTCTAATCATTAATTGAACTGAGATTGCACAGGGATTGTAACTGTTACGACTTCAGTCTCGATGTTGGGCACTGTACACTTGCATAGTGTGTTTGTTTCATTTTGGTCATCAGAATTTAACAAAGTAAAGCAAGGAAATCTAAACTGACACATTTTGAAAGGGGTCTGGAAATTTCTTGTTTGACAAAGACAAGCACTGGGGTTACTGTTATGCAACTAATATTTCTTTCTCAAGGTTAGGGAAAGATTGCAGTCATTGTTAACTAATAAAATGCTGATTTCTAGTATGAGACAAGATGTTTCACAGTTCCACATCTAACTTTTGTCACTGACAGCAGCTGATTTTCAAGCATCTGATTTAAGCCATGGATGTATAAGGAGAATTGGATAAGCATTGGAGATGGGCCCCGTTCATTACTATGAAAGTTGCTCTGGTGCACATGAAGCAAAAACATTCAACTTTGGAGTATAAAATAAGTCAGCTCTTCTGCATCCATATGGACACTAGTGTTTCCTTTAACCTTGCTTCCCAGATGCCGGTCTCAGGCTCGCTCACATTAAGAACAGTTCAGAATAACTCTGGATTTGGCCGTTAGTGAATTTTACAACATTTTGGACATAATGATTTAAATAAAAATGTATGTGTTTGTACTGGTAAGTTGATGCACCTAAAAAAAATATCCGCTGACTTACAGACATCTTTTTCATAACATAAGTCTATGTGAAAAGGCATTTTCAGGCCCCTGTTCCTTAAGGTGCAGCACAGACAGGGTCATGTGGCATGACCTCATCACCATCCTGCTGTTAGAAAGTAAGCTCCTGCCAGTTCTGAGTGTCTACAGCTTGAGCAAGTCCCATGTGAGCCGATCATTATTAACATTTGTTAACTCCACTCATGATACTCTGACCAATCAATTCCAATTCATTGCATCACTAAACTTGGACTCATATTTTTCTTAATATTTTCTAGAAATACTTTCCTATTTTCTCACCTGCCTCTGCTGCCTGTGCTGGATGTGCTAGAAGGTCGTGCTGGCGTATGGGCATTCGACAGACCTTTGGATAGACATGAGATGGAAAACATGGAAACAGGTGATGATGAAGCAGCAGTGATCATTTTATATTGTGCACGTACATGAAAGTTCCATTTCATTCCTCAAGGGACATAATGTACACATATCTAGAAAAGAGATGCAGGATATAATGAAGGGGTGGGCATCATTTCCAATATCTTACACTATATATTTTTTTACCATGGTAATGACACATTGTAATAGGGTATTTTTCTGAAGATTAAATTTCAGTGGCATAAACATTTTTTTTTTTTTTTAAATTTTTGTTAATCTAATGTATTTCATACAAGTAAAAAGTCACATTTAATTATTTGGCAGCTTTTTACAATTATGACCAATGGCTGCTCTTTGTGACATTGGGCCCTACCACTGAATCCTTAAGGGCCTGATGTTATCATGAATGTGATTACAACGGCTTTAAAGGCAGGAAATAAAGCATCTAAAAAACACAAGCTCTGTAAGATGTGACTGTGAAACCATGTCCCTGAACGTGTGGTTACCTGAAGATCCAGGAGAGTGTGTGGACAGTCCAGGTGAGGCATTGATGTCCACTGACCCGAGGTGATGCTGCGTGCTAGCTGAGATGTAGCGAGACAGGAGGTGTCCAAGGTTGCTGGAACCTGCATCCTCCAGCTTGAAAAGTACAGTGGCAGGGGAAAAATAAATGGAGAATCGAGTAATTAAAGAGGTCAAAGAACATGGAAATTTTGTGTTCAATTTGTCTACACATGCAACACATCACATTTTATAGTTGTGCCTCTCTATACCTTTTCCAGTGAATGGCACATTTTACATATAAATAAATTCAAATATTTGCATATTGCCTATCATTTTCTCATTATAATTATAATAGTTCAAAATGAAAATGAAAAAAATAATGCAAGAACTTTAAATAATTTTCCCAGTATACATATATATGTTTCTTCATTGAGAGAACTGTTAGTAAAACATTTCTAACTTTCATGTTATTTTTCAAATTATTTGACCGACAAAGATCTATAAGTGGCACGTGAATAACAAGAAAATGTTACAAATTCTACATAGTTAGAAAGTGCGCACCTGAATGGGTGGGATCTCAGGTAGGCAGGGCAGGTTCTCAGGATTGGTGACAGAGGGGATGAGCTCAATGGGGCCTATGATGGGGCTGGCAGGTCCGCGATGAGCGTGGGCTCCAGCCATACTGGCACTGGTGGGACTTGTGGGGTTTGCATTATGGAGGGATGCCACCGGGAAAGGGCCTGCATGCCCCGGGTTAGAATGCTGCACAGAAAAAGAGAGAGAGGGATTGAGGAAAAGAGGGCCGTGGGAAGGAGGGATGGAAGGACAATGACAGGAAGAAAGAGAGTAAAAGAAAGGGAAGAAAGAAAGGACGACAGGAACCATTCACTGACTTTCAGTCCAAAAAAAAAAAAAAATGTAAAAACAATATGGTTGCATGATCATGCATTTGGGTGACAACACATGCTGCACAAGACACACAAACGACAAAGTAGGAAAAAGGTGCCAAACCCCTGATTGTAGTAAGAAACGAAACCTTTGGTGGCTCATCTCAGATTCAATAGACATCTGGACACAAAGAAAAAGGGGCTGGATGTAGTGGAGGTTCTTACCTAGTCTTATATGCAGGCAGTAAATGTACATTTTCATACTGTACATGTTATGTGATTTCACCAAATCATCAGCATTTCATTTATAGATAACAGTGGTAACACAGTGCAAAAGCAGGGCGACATGAGGACACAGTACATTTGCACCCTTCTATGAAAACGCATGCAAAACACTTTTTATTTGAACTCTAACTCTGTTTTAATTGGTTGATCTGCGGGTTGGATTTGAAAGTTCAGGTATGCCAGGATTCAAATGAAATAATTTGATTAAATTTAAATTTAATTTGCATGCACAAAATCTTTCATTTCCATTTTTGAATATGCACCATTAATCTGAAAATTTGACTCTGAAATAGTTGTCGTTGCACTGGCAAGTATGACCCTGCCAAAATTATAAATGGACCATGCTTTTTAATTTTCAAATTTGACCATATGCTACTTATTTTACATTACACGTTACTTATTTTACATTGTGTGTTATTTATTGTCTTGTTGTTTGTCACACAACAATCTTGTTGCATAAATGTTAGTTTGCCATGCAAACGCTATCTGTACTTGTCTGCACCTTAGAAGTAGGCCCCACATTTCCGTTGTATACCTAGCATCCTTTTGTTCCTGTGCAATGACAATGAAGGCTTTCTATTCTATTCTATTCTGTTCTAAAAGGGTTCCCTGTGGAGGTTTAAACTTCTCGTAGCACTGCGGAGCCTTTTTGCTATGTCTGGGTCCCTGTTTTGTTTCTTGTGCATACATGTAGGTGATGCAATACACAGTCCTACCAATGGTGTCACACTATTCCACTGATCAACAGGTGGAGGTAACACACTAAGATACACCACAATACACCACAAAGATAGGGAAGAGAGAAAGACTGCAAGCTAGTACGAAAACAATGCTAGATTGAAAATACTTCAGAAATCGGCTTTGGAAATGTTTTATGAGGAAGGAACATTTCATCCGACACATTTGTTATAGCTTAAGGATACACACAATGACTTTCTGCGAGTAACACTGAAAGTAGGAAGGTTCACGGTTACCAGTTATTGCTTAACTGCCTAGAAGATTTTTGACTGGTTACAAATGTTGGTCTGTAGATTAATTGTGTTACTCTTCAGTTAAGTAGATGTACTAGCACTAATAAGCTAAAAAGGTATTTATGCTTTACTGGTTAGCTAGCCTTGACTGCTCTGCACTGTGCACCACCCAGGTGGCACGCATCTAGTTGCCAAAGGGGTATTTTGATTGAAAATGAAACTGCTAACTCACTGGGGCTTCCTAGGGGGAGACCACAGGGTGGCCACCATGTTTCTGCAGTGACATGTTGTGTTAGAATCTTAGCACAGACAGCAGTTTGCATTTGTTTTGATTTTAAAGCAGCATTCTCCCAGACTTGTTTTGTGGAACCTGTTTGGTTACCCATCAATACTAGCAGATTAGAATAACAGCCTTTTTCCACTGCAGGAACTTCACAAAATGTAATGTAATGTGTAGCCACTTTTTGCAGGCTACAGTTTTGTTTCTACAATTATCTATCTGCTTCAGGAATGAGTTTCTGGAACTACATTTCAGCACTGCTCAGGTGATGATACTGTATGCATGTTCGACATACTTTTAGGGATGGCCAGCAGTACTGTCTATCATGACTGAACAAGCAGATGTGTCATTACATCACCACAGGGGTGACTACAGCGAACAGCATGCCAAGTATCTGGCAGAAATGGAGGTAAAACTCACAGCCCAACACCAAAAAGTGATTTAACACATTGGATGCTGTTGTGGGCCACCAACCAACTTCTGCCTGCCCTACTCCAGCTGCTAAGTGCTTATCAGTGTTCACCAGCTAGTCTCTAACTGTGTCTGTCTGCTGTTTAGTGTTGAGCAGGTAGTGTACAGTGAGTTTCCAGAACTTTTTGCTGTAAGCAGCTGCCTGGTGCAGTCGCAAATGGTGCTATAAGAGTGAAACAATAAGCTGAAACTTGCCACAGTGCTCCGTAAAGCCAAGGGGAGCTGTAGATTTGGGTGATAAATCTTGGTAGGTTCATTACTACACCTACATGACACACTGTTATTTGATATACTGACATTATACAAATATCCATGACAGCAGCTTTAAGTTCCTGTAGCAGAAAAGGACTTTAACTAGCTGGAATGGACCAGTCAGAGGACACCATTACACTGCTTAGGTTTCTGGCCAAGGTTGAACTATATCTGCTAAGGTAAGAGGTTTGAGCCAACAAACAATTAAGGTATAGTAGTCTGGTTTCAGGTTGGGCTTGTTCCCTTCTGTATCAGTCAGTGCTTTCTTTGGGCTTGTATGTGTTTGGCTGAATGAACTTACTGAATAAATTTAATATGGTGAGAAACAATGCATTTTCAAACATAATTTATGTTTTTACTTTGATCAAATGATTCTATTTTAATATTAGCAGCTTTGAACTGAATACTCGATAAAGTTAACATGGATATTAGTGCTACCAGCCTTGTTTTTAACCATAAACATTTAAAGATTTCACAAATAGTCAGCCATCAAAATCAGCCTAACTTAAGATTCTGTCTAAAAAGTATTGGCTGACTGATACTGGACTGTTTAATATTGATAACAATTTTTACCAGTAGTTATTTGAGAGTTATTTAAATACCCAGAGAGCAACAACTGAGCAATAGGTTTTTATCACTTAACTTTCACTTAACCGCTTAAACTCAGATCAACAACCATTTTTATGAGAATCCCTTAAAAGTCAGTTATTTGTTGTAATTGTGATCAATATTTGTACAGTAAATACGTATATATGAGTGGGACATTTGACAAAATAAACCTGTTAGTGCTCTCTGGTGGACAAACTATATGCTCAATAATGACCTCATTCTAAACACAATCCAACGAATAAAAACCACAATCATACCCACAAACAAGAAAAATGAGATATATTTGCTGGAGCCTGGCTGTTCCTGCATTTCTAAAGACTAGGTGAAAAAAGTCAGAAGAAACCTCACTTCAATAAACTGTTAGTATTCACTAAATTATCATTATTATTTTCTTCTACATTAGATAGAAAAGGATGCACAAACATTACACTCCAAATACTGAATATTTCTGTCTTAGGCGTGCTGTGAAGCTGCTTCAAACCAGCCTCACATTGGGTATCTTTACATTTTGGGTTAAACACATTTGCACAGCAGCACACCAATTTTCAACATTTACAGCTACAGATGTGTTAGACAAACAACAAAATCACATTAAAATCCAAACAGTGTAAGTATGCTGTAAAATACTCCATCTTTTTATCAGTTTCCATGCAGTGAAAACCAGAGTGTGCTTGCACTGACCTGTCTCTGTAGCTGAGGCTGCATCATGGCGGGATACTGCTGTCCATTATGTCTCGGCTGAGCCGTGGGCATTCGGGCCTGCGGCGGACCCGCGAGACGCATATGGTGGGAGGAAGGGTACATCGGGGGACCTGGCCCACCATTCATACCCCCAGGCCCTCTCGGTAGCTGCTGCATACTGATGAGCCTTGGAGGCTGTCAAAACCATACACATACAGAGACTATGTGAAATGAGGTCATTGGATAACCATAACCATGGCAATTTATGCAAAGAGCATGCAATTTTCAGGGTCATGCAATCATATACTGCCGTTGACATGAAAAGTAAATTCATCGGTTCTTTGACCAACAGAAACTTACGACATTTATTCTTGAAAAATATCTAATAATCACTGGTTCACTGGCTTTTTTCTGTTTGACAACACTAAGTCACATATTTTTGAAGCTTTTTACTGTTGGTTGGAGAAATTAAGGGATTTTAGATCACTTTGGGTTCCTGTCTCTTGTGACAGCCATTTGTTTTGTTGTTATTTTGTTGATTAAAATGATGCTTAACAGACTAATTAAAAAAGAAGAGGAAGAGAGGTCATTAACTTGCTTGATTTTCAAGCAATTGGAGGATGAAAATCAACTTCCAGAGACCTGTCTCTTGCTTGAAACACATTCTCCAACACAGGCAACACTTCTTCTTCTTTTTTTTCCCCCAAGTTAAGTGATAGTCATGTGGTGGTGCCCTGGCAAGTAGAGAGCCTGTTTGTGAGTTCAAGGCTGCTGCCAAACAGCAACAAGTTCAAGCAAAACACTGAAATCCCAGTTATCCTTTTCATAAAATCTGTGCCCACTTACTTGTTGTCTTCTTGGTTTGATTTGTGAAAACACCATGCATTCAATATTTTTTTGCAGCTGTCTCTGAATTCTTGAATAACATAATGTCCCTTAAAAGCATGTTTTGATTTCCTTTTTACCTGGAACCTACCTTCCAGATAACTGTTTTTGTATCTAGGTGACTAATCAAAACAACAGCTTACGAAATTAGTCAATATTGAGTAAGACCGCTGCAGCAGCAGAGCAGGTTGCAGTGTAATTCCTGCAGGCAATTGAGCACCATCAGTTTTCATCCACTGCAAGTGCTTGTTTTTGCCTCTGATAGGCTCAGATTGAAAACATTATAAAAGGATCCCTACAGGGGTCGACCTGCGTGTTTGAAGAGGATCATTTTTGTTTAACTAGTAACAGACCTGAAGTGGCCATTGCCAAAGCCACCAGACTCCATTTAAATCAACTGTAATTTTATTGTTGTATAACACACTTCATTCAAAGTCAATAGAAGCAAAATAAAACTCACAAAAGCCATTGTGGTTTGTCTTTCCATTGTTTCAATAATCATCAACTGTGGCTGGTTAAAATAAACCCTTAATTCACCCAGTTAGATGTGAACATATGCTGGGTCCATATACACTAAAATTATTGTTTATTTAAATGGAGTCTGGTGATGGCAATTTTTTTTATGTCTGCTTCTGTTTAATCAAAAGGATTTTATTCTTTAACAAAGAGGTCGACCTTGTAGGAATCCTTTCCATAGGACATCAGGCACTTATAATAACAATCTGAGCCTGTCAGTGGCAAAAACAAGCACTTTTAGTGGCCGTAAATTGACGGTCAATTTCCCACAGTGATTACATTGCAGCCTGTTTCATTGCTGCTACTTTCTCAATACTGAACCAGTTTCAAAATTGGTAGTTTGATTAGTCACAGACACAAAAACATGGGGAAATAGGATCCAGGTCCAAAAAACTGCCCATGAGAATTTTCAAATCCTCAGTCCAGTTCAAAGTATCTGCAAGTTATTTTTTCAATCTAAATCCACATGCCTTAGAAAATAATTGACTACTACAGTAGGTTATGCAATTATTCATAGTGAATGACCTGAAAACTGCTGTTGTTGTTTTTTTACTGCCAATGATAAATATGATCTTCTTTTGATTTCAGTCAGTGACCCACATGTGATTTATCTAGGATTAAGTCTCATTGCAGTTTGTCACCAAATCCTCTCAGGCTGGTCCATTATAAATACTCTTAATCTTGTATTGACAGACCTCCACCTGATAAAAGCTCTCAGAGGTCTGAGGACGTATAATACATTGATAAGAAATACATAAAATGACTGTCTGGTGCACTGAGAATAAAATGCTTAAGAATGCTCCAATATTTTGACATGTCACTATGGGGATCAGTTGGAGCGCAGAGTTTCATTGTCATCCACAGTGGTACCTTGACTGAAACATTTTCCATACCTGCTGCTGAGCCATGGGTGGGCCGGCCTGTCTGGCGTGCTGCTGGGACATCTGGGAGGCGATGCGCATCTGTTGCTGGATCTGCTGCTGGTGCTGCTGCTGTTGTTGCTGCTGCTGCTGCTTTTGTTGTGCGTAGGCTGCCTGCTGCATGTGCTGCAGCCGGAGCTGAGCCAGGTTGATCTGTCCTGGGTGTTTCCCGTGGTGAGTTTGGCCTGGAGAAATGGGTGGTCCCCCTACCATCACACCGGGCGGCTGTGCAGGTGGAGGTGGCTTCTCGATTACCAAATTACCTACATGAAGAAAAAGAAGGATAACAATAAGCATAATGTACAGAAGTGCACATGCTCTGGACTGGTGTGAAATATTCCTTTATTTTATTTATGCAGCAGGGCACATTAATCAGTTGCTTACTGCTAAATTTTCATGTTTGTGCCGCTTGTGCAGTAAGGCAAGACTTATTCTCGTCTACAGAAATAAGCATGCAAGGACCATAAAATTTGTAATGAAACACATTTCAATGGCAAATTAAGACGGCTCTCTCTTAACCTTGAGTGGAATTAGTCAAAAAGAAACCAAAAGTCAATACATTTGACAGAGAAATATTGACTGATGAGGGATAATAAGAATACTCTCTCACCTAGATTCACCACATTTTTGGCCCAGAAGGTGGGGTCACAGAAGAAGCGCACAACTCCGTTGGCCTGGGGCGCTGGCTCCAATCTAGCCTTGAAGAGCTGGCGGAGCTGGAACAGGATCTACATACACATGAGCACACATACACATGGAGAATAATGTTCTTTGGTTAGTGAGCCTGGCTTTATTGGAGCAACAAACAGCCCATTTGTCATGTTTCCCTTTGGGAGCATTACTCCGCAAACCCACATTAAGTTATCTCAATTATCTTATTTGCTGACTGTCTTGTGGTAAGCAGTCAAACCACGTGGCAGAAGCCTCCACTGTTTGAGCCCCAAGAAATTCACGTCTACATTATATGGGGAAAAAAGATGGTTCTGCAATTTTACCAGTCCAGAAGTATATTTTGTCATGTTCCTAGACAGCTGCTAAAAAACAGATATTAGATAGATAGATTAGTGCACTGTTTGCTTTAGTCTCCTGAACTACTGAACATCTGGAGCTGATGAGAAACATACCAGTCTCTTGCTGTAGAGCAGTGCTGTGCTGCTGCCAGTAGTGATGGCCCAGTGGCAGAAGTTGAGCACATGGTGGATCTGCTGGGCCAGCTGGGTGGTATCCTTATGCTGAGACACAAGCCTCATACTGCGCTCTTTGGCCACACTCTAGACAGAGAGTAAGATTATTCTGGTTAAGGGACTGCTAGTGAAAGAGCCTTTACACCCTAGACAAATGAATGTTCCAAGCTATTACAAAAATGTTAGCATATGCATAGAGATGGATTAGATAATTAGATTTGATTAATTCAAAATTTAATGGTTCCCGTGGGGAGCTTGGGTTATTACAGCAGTCGATATTCCAACGCAGTAAAAACAATTAAATAAATAAGAGCACAGCAAATGGGGAGGCAGTCAAGTACATAGCATATAACACCCTGGATTCACAGACAGAAGTAAAGATATCAAGAGGAAAAAGTCAAAGCAAGGCTCTTAAAGAGAAGTTGGCATGAAAAAGAGGAAACTGTAAAACTCCTATTGTGTGTCAACACATTTAGTAAACAGAAGTCATCACAATAAAGATATATTCAATATCTATAGCAAATGAGAAGGTGTTGAGTATACAGTGTGAAAAATGTGTTGTTGGATGTCTCATCATATATGTATAGACAGATATGTACACACCAGAATCCAGATATACAAACTACACAGAAGCTTTTTGCAAAACATATTTTCACTATGTGGTGTAATTTCACTGTTTCAGTGCAGTGAGAGTGAGTCAGCAGGCACAAGATGAGCTTGCATGCACAGAAACCCTATTGTTGCATACAATGCATTACAATAAATGCAACAATGTTGACATAAAGATTTTGCAGTATGCATTATTATACAGCTCTAAGCCAAACTGGCTTAATTCATATTCTTTTACCTCCAACTGCTGCAGCAAAGACTTGCCCTTCTTGTTGATCTCATTAATAAGAGTAAATACTGCAATTTTGATCTCATGCTCCACCTTCCGATGCGTCTCATTCAGCTCTTTTAACCTGGATGAAAAAAAGACTTCAGTTAGAAACCTAGCCACTAATGAAAATGCTGAGTGCATTTGTTAGCCCATTACCATGGGTATATTACGTCAACGGGCAGCACTGAGGCTGGTGACGGAAACTCGCACCTGCTTTGGACCTGAGAGACTGAGTAATGGACGTAGTTCTTCTTTTCCTGTAGTTTGGCCATGCTGCTTTCAATGATGCCTTTCTGGTTCTGGAAAGCTTCCTCCAGGAATTGGTACCTGAGAGGAGAGAGGGTAACACTCTTACTGTTACCAACAATTGCTAATAAACCCATTGACCATGATTGATGTTTGAGTGGGCCAAAAAGACACCCTATGAATTGGGTATGTTCACATTTTGTTCATCAGTACTCAAGAATCATGCGTGAATGCAATCAGTGTGTCTTGCTGTAAAGTGTAGAAGACTTATGAGAGTCTGAGCAGGGATTTCTTTCCTTTGCTTTATGGTGAGACAGATCTGAATCCATTTTCTGTCCTACCATATGGTAGCTTGGACTGGTTTTGAATCCCGTCTCCTGAGTTTTTTAAAAACAAAAAAAAACATTTCCCTGCTTACGTTGTCAAGTTCTGTCCTCAGTCAGAAATTGTTGTTGATGTGATCTTGTGAAGCCCACTGAGACACGTATAGTTAATGAGCTACTCTAGTATATGTAAATTACAAGCATAATGGAGGAAAAATGATTTAAACAGGACATTGGTGGTCTATTGTTGAGCTGGTATTACCTCTACCAAGCAGGTGACTAATGTGACTGCTTTGTCAATGTGTTTAAGACCAACACATCTTAAAATCTTGAGGTTGGATTTACATAATATTTGGTGCTCATTTGGTCTGCAACTTATTCTAATAATGTACTGAAATGAACTAAAACCAATGGCTGCCTGCAGGGTAGGCAAAAACTCTTAGGCCCCTGCTCACAAATGAAGTATTTTGCAGATTGCAAAACATGAGACGCACTGCACTGCCTTTTTTTAAAAATTGAATGCCACTAGTAAACAAAAATGCTGCACGTTTTAATTCTTGCTAGGCAACCAGCCCATCACCTCCTTACCCTAACTTCCCTGTGGAATTAGTATACAGTTTATTTTGGCTAGCTAAAACTACCTACTTATTTTCACAGTAATTAGTAGCTAGTTCCTAAAATGGACAGGCAGAGGGTACTTGCTCTAGAGGCTGTCAGTAGTTTGTTGGGCACAGGGCAATAGAAATCTGTGTGAGTACATGAGACCCTAAAACAGAGAGTAGATCACGGGTACGGCATACATTTTAGGACATCCTCAGGTGTCAGGCTTCAGTGTCAGACCTTAGATGAAAATGCATAAGGTCTCAGGAAAACCTCTGTCAGACGTCACACTAAACGGCCTCAGAAAAAAAGTCATTGGACCAAAAGGCATCAGAAAAAAAGTCGTCAGACAAAACGGCGTCAGAAAAAAAGTCATCGGACCAAAAGGCATCAGAAAAAAAAGTCGTCAGACTAAACGGCCTCAGAAAAAAGTCATCGGACCAAAAGGCATCAGAAAAAAAAAGACGTCAGACCAAAAGGCATCAGAAAAAAAAGACTTCAGACCAAAAGGCATCAGAAAAAAAGTCGTCAGAATAAACGGCCTCAGAAAAAAAGTCCTCGGACCAAAAGGCATCAGAAAAAAAGACGTCAGACCAAAAGGCATCACAAAAATAGTAATCGGACCAAAAGACATCAGAAAAAAAGACGTCAGACCAAAAGGCGTCAGAAAAAGTCGTCAGACTTAACGGCCTCAGAAAAATCAGTCTTATATAAAAATGGACTATTTATATATATATATATATATATATCTTTATATATAAAATCATTAAAAATTCAACATCACCCTCTAAACTTTTGGAATATCGGGTGTCGGACTTGCATGTCCTGTACGCACAACGCTTCAGTAGCCTATGTGCCGAAGCCGTGTGCGTACAGGCGTCTTATTTTATATTTGTTTATTGTCCTAACGTAGACGGATTCACTACGAACTGTACGTTTTATGAGCAGCAACAGCAGCACGTCAGAGGAGCCAACTAACTAACTTACCAGTTAACAGTCATTATGTTTGCTTTTGTGAACTAACTGACACATGCTGAGACAACGACAAGCAACATTTGTTTGTAGAGGGAGGTTGTTGTCGCTGTTGTTATTGTTGTGGCGGTGATATAGCTAGAGATGTTATTCAGAGGATACGCAGAGTTTTTTTTCATATTCCCCGGTCATTCGACTTGAGCAAGTGTTATAATGATGGGGGAAACCCTGCCTTCACCTCCTGACAGCTGTAGTTTTAAAGCTTTGATCTGGGCTTTTAGGGGAGGGATCCTCCAGACAGGGACTGTTTGTAGTGACTGAAATACAGCGGTGAGAGAGAAAAAAAAAAAAAACAGCAGCGAGAGCTGGATACTGATCACAATCACCCAAAACTTGTAGTTTGACAACGTCTCTTATGTTAATGATCAGTGAGATGACCTAAGTATTCGTGGGTTGATAGATGGGGAAATTAACAGTCCTTATTGCTGCTCTGTACAGTGTCTGGTCGTGTCGTTGAACCGCTGTTTTGCCCTCCAGCTGCACAGGTCATGTCACTGAAAACTATGAATGATCTTTGTGATCTCTGAACAGTTTATCCATAAATTTGCTGATATTTCCTTTTAAACCGATGCCGGTATTGGTGAAAACTCTGTATTTCTTATGCTAGGAGCATGGCCGGTGTTATGCCGAGATCTGCATGCCTGCCGAGAACTGCATGCACCTCGCGGGAGCGCGCGCACAGCTGAAAGGAAAGCTACTGTCTTGATTTTTAAGGAAACTTACTGTTTAAAAACGAAATAATCTTCTTTGTCAGGTTCATCAGTGATGTTCACTAATCTGAAGTCTAGTTTTTTAACGTTCAGCGTCATCAATGTTTTATTAGAATCAGTAAAGTAGCGTTTCCTCGATTGGTCTGAATAGTCTGCTTGATTAATCTCTCATTATTTCTTAATGCCAACTCTTCACTATTTTGTGTGTGGCTGCGTTTTTAAGCATGGGATTTCAGATAGCTCTACGAAAACAAGGTTTTTAAATTCGGAAAATTAATGTAGGGAGTCATTCGCGCTGTCAAGGCCAATCAAATAAAGTACGCTACGTGCTGATAAAGCCATGATGGTGTTCTTATCAATCTTTGATTTGAAGTTTCATGAGGGTGTTAAGGGGTGCATGCATTTTTCGACAGAAGTGATTGCTGCTGCCGAATAATGCATCCCCTGTTATTTATGCTTAGGTCATTATTAAATGAATGAAATTCACACGGTTGAGCCAAAAGGACCCAGAATATGAGCTGGTAAAATCCTTTGATTCACAGACCTCCTGAAATATAATTACAGCCTGGATGCATTATTCGGCAGAGGTGTATTTATTACCTGCCGAGATTTGCATCCCCAGTTTTTTCAGTCTAGAAGACTACCACATGTATGAAATTCACACTGCTGAGCCAAAAGGACCCAGAAGAACGTGTTTTGATGATGTCATTCATTACCGTGATAGATAGATAAATAAATTACTAGTCTGCACCCATGGTCTGCAGATGCCTTTTGGTCTGACGTCTTTTTTTCTGATGCCTTTTGGTCTGACGACTTTTTTTCTGAGGCCGTTTAGTCTGACATCTTTTTTTCTGATGCCTTTTGGTCTGACGACTTTTTTTCCGAGGCCGTTTAGTCTGACGACTTTTTTCTGATGCCTTTTGGTCCGATGACTTTTTTTCTGAGGCCGTTTAGTCTGACGACTTTTTTTTCTGATGCCTTTTGGTCTGACGTCTTTTTTTCTGACGCCTTTTTGTCCGATGACTTTTTTTCTGAGGCCGTTTAGTGTGACGTCTGACAGAGGTTTTCCTGAGACCTTATGCCTTTTCATCTAAGGTCTGACGCTGAAGCCTGACACCTGAGGATGTCCTAAAATGTATCCCGTACACGGGGAGTATCACCAGTTTCTCCTCCACCATTAACCAACTGTAAACTTCAGAGAAGGCCTGCCTCTCAAATCATCGGATTAGACAATGGGGGAAAAAGGCAAAGATGACATGGGGCACTTTTCTGCTCTGAGTTAAAGTTTTTTAAACTCCAGGAGTCCAGCAAAGACACCAGGCGCATAGAGTGCAGAAACACGAAGCATGCAACAAAGCAAAAACGGTGAGCAAAAAGCTTAATCCTCATTAAAACAATTACAAAAAAACCCTCCAGCTGCTAAAACACTTTCTGTGTGATCAGGGCCTAAATTCCTAAAACATGCCTAACAAGTATAAAAGCAGTACACAAACTTAACATGCACAAACATGCCCACTGTTGAAATATATTGATTGTTGCAAAATTAGTCAAAAAATACAGGTAACATACCAATAACAGGAGCTAGTAGACAGGAGAACAACTGTCCATGTGTACCAAATTAGATGTGTGGGATGTGTTAGATGTTGAGCTACCTGTGCTCCTTGTGCTCCAGCAGCTGGCAGTCCCTACAGGTCAAAGTGTCACAGGTCTCACAGAAAAGCTTCAGTGGCTCCTGCTTGTGGACGGGACAGAAAACAGGCCTCTGTCCTGACGTACCAACAGACTCTATAGACACATGGGAGGAAAGACACCACTGATGCTTAATTGGAGAGACAGAAACCAATAGAGAGGCAAATAAATCATAGAAACCAGTGAAAGAAATACAGGACTAAAGAAAGACAAAAATATACAGCAAAAGTCTTTTCAAAGACAGTTCAGCTTTGCAACAGACAGAAAAGGTCTCAGAAAGCTCTGGTCAGAGCTTTAGGGTGTATGGTCCCCCAGCTAGAGGTATCAGACTCTGCAGCACTGTTACTATGGCAACAGCCTATCAGCAGCACCACATTCACTGTGCTTCAACTGGGGTTGGTTTTATTTAGGCTTTTGCAATTTTAGCTTCTATAAACATCGGTCAGCCCTTCACAGTGAGGGTCAGCCATCTTACCAGAGGCAGCGTCAGCATCCTCCTTGGTGCGGATCTTATGGTCCTTCGTAATTTTGACCCTCTGGTGGGCCTCCACACAAGTCTTACACAGCCATTCTCCGCACTCCACACAAAAGCCTATGGTTCCTGCGTTGTCCTCACAGCTTGTGCACACCTTGAATAGATCACACCAATAAGCATAGAAAAGAACTGCACTCATAGGCCTTCCAGAATCACTACTGGTGCAGAATGATACAGCTCCTACAAACGTGTGCTCTGATCATTAAATGATGCCCTAAGAGAAGGTACTTGAATAAAACACGGGACAATGTAAAACATTCCCGGGCTGAAGAAAAACACCTGATATTAAAATGCTGACAAATGCTAGTGGTTCAATGAGAGTTGCACCTTTGTTTAGAAAGCCCACTCTGGTATATTAAGGCCTAAACTACCTGTTTACATAAGTGTTGCTCCACAAACTCTGATTGCAATACCTGAACCAAATAGCATATGGTGAACCCCACTATGATAATATATTATTACAGTGGTGTCTTTACAGTCAGCCCTGTACTTGGCCAATGACTGTTACTTAGTTACTAAGGGGTCAGGGGTAACAAAAGTGTGGTCTGATGGTGACACTAAATAAATGATTAAAGGTCCTCTATATCAGATATAGATACATTTGTGTCAGAGTAAAGGCTCAAGAGCCACATAGTGGGGGTTTTGTTGGCGGCTCTACAGCACAGACAGTGCAATCAAAAGAAAAAAATAAGCTTCTTCTTATATTTGGAATAGAGGTTGATGACTTTTTTCTTCATTTTATTTTAGCAAAGTCCCAGACAAACCTATGGCTCAAGAAAGTTATCAAACAAAAATTATTGCAGGCTTGACAAAATGGAATTGGTGCCCAACTAGATACAACTGCCCTGAATCGTGGACAAATAATACTTTGCATCGCTTTACTAAAAAACTATTAATCAGCATCCCAAGGTTAAAGCCCCTCTCCAGTGTATTTTGGCATGTTAATGATATTTTATGTTTTGAGTCGTTTTCTGACAATGCTAATTAGCCACACTGTTTGGCATATATTTGTAATAAAAAACTTCATTGTGTACTCAAAGTTCAAAAAACAAAAAGGTTGTTGCTAAAATAGGAAGATGACATATGATGACTATAGCAGCAGCTGCAGGTCATACGTCATCCTCCAAGCTTGCGCAGGTGCACTGTCATGCCTCTTTGCATCTGAGAGGCACAGAAGGAATTGTTTTTACCGGCTACACCTGCAGTGCACATACGCACTAGGGTTGTGTGAGTCACCGGCAAGACAAGACGGTAAACTTTCGTTTTGAGATTGTTTATTCTGTGTTTGAACTAAGCACAGGGATGTGAAATTTCAGTTTTTCACTGAGGTTGTGAGTTATGGGTGAGTTAAAATCTACAGACTACAATAGGCTATGTAAGGGATAAAGGTACTAAGCAACCACCAGCTGGTAATGGCAAAATAAACACCTACAGGGTGGTCAAGACCACAAAGCCGAACGAACACGAAGCCCTGTTTGAAACAAAGTAGCCAATATACTGTATGACTAATTTACTTCACAAAGATAATTGAAATATATATTTAAAATTAGGGTACTTCATTAACTTGTTGGTATTACCGAAACTACCAAACAAACTAGTTGCCCGTATTAACTGTCAGTTAGATTAGTTAGACTTCATCGACTAGTTAAGAGTTAACTAAAAATAGTTGAATTATTATTCATTCATATTTCCCTCTAATGAAGGAGGTGGAGAAAAATTCCTCCACCTCATAACTTAGGTTCAAGTGACTGCTATTGCTATCCATGCTAACATCCATGCTATATCAAAAATGTAGCCTAAACAGCAATCTGGTTTTCATGGTAATGGTTTACATCCAACTACTAACCACAGCTCCATTCTCTGTTTGAGAAGGAAGATTAACTGAAAAACAGAAGTGACACTGGCTGGAGCCGGACTTTCAACAGAGACCCCTCCAAACAGCAGAGGACAACATGGCATAACATTGATGCAGATAAACTTAAGTACAAACCATCATGGCCACAAGGTCAACCATTTCAACATACCTGTGCAGCTTTTTCATCAGATGTACTGGTGGCCTCTGTGGTATCTTTGACAAAGTAGTTGTCAATAATATCACTCTGTTTGTAGTCCTGGTGGCACACTGAACAGCGCATAACATTGACTGTGGACAGAAAAAGACAGAAAATGAGGGGGGACATAAGTCAAATGACATCCAAAGGTTAAACAGTGGGCTACATATTCAATGCTTGGTGACAGTTCATTGATGACTGATCTCTGAAGAAAAATGGAAACAAAGCCAAAGAAGCATTGACCATCAAGGACAAGCCCAAATGAAAGCTATTACCTGAGGAGCCCCCATAACTCTGGGCTAAGAATAGTCCTGCTTCAAACAAGAGGATTAATAAGAGGCCCTCAGCATACTTTCTGCTTATTTCCATAATTTCCTTTAGGTAAATTCCTGTTGTTATTAAAAATTCTTGGCACCATGGGACACCACTGCCTATTCATGGGTGCTAATTGATTTAGCGCTTGTCTCCAGAAGATTCAATCTCGTCATCCTTGGCATTTTTTATTAGAATATTAAATCACATGCGCAATTTGGGCAAACAATGAGGACTGTTTCGCTTAATCACTTTAGTTGGCATCGTTAATGGAATTAGTTGAATTGCTGCTATAATCATACACCCCAACAAATAATTAGTTCAGCGTATTAACTTTGCCACTTATTTTCTGAGGTCTAATATTATGCACAGTATTAAACTTCACATAAATGTTTTAAATTGAGTCAGCATAATATGTCATCCCTCCTCTACCTCATAAACCCATAAACTCCCCCTCACCAGCCAGCTGAGGTAAAAACTGGTTGAAGCCGGTTTGAGCCGGTCTACACTGGCTTGAGCAGCACACAGCCGGTTTGTGTAAGCTCCAGCTGCATGGGTCTCTGAGTGATTGGTTGTGAAAGCAGCTGGACTGGGATTGTGTGGGGGAACCCACACCATCCCCCCCCCCTGCACCCCCCCCCCCCCCAACAGACACACACACACACACACACACACACACACACACACACACACACACACACACACGTTCAGAACCTTATTTTAAATTAGGTTGTGTTTCCCTAAATTCATGAAAAACATACCCCTCTGCTAGAGAAAATATGAAAGGGAAACAAGCCCATAATTGTATATTTAACCCCAGTAACAGGTCTGTTTGACCAACTCAGACTATTGCTTTGCCAAATATTAACCTCAGTTACTGGGTACACTAGTACAAGTGATACACGAGAGCAAGCTGCCACCAAAGCTTACACCAGGGTCAAGATAACACCAAATCTCCCTGAAATACAGGAAAAGAAAAAATCTCGGGGACATCACTTATCTTGGAGAGGTGACAGATATCATCACATTTCACCTCTGATTGGTGTCAATGTTTACTTTCACTTAATCACAACAAGATGGAAACCACAAAGTGGATTTGGCTTTGCTGAAACCTGCCACAATTTATTTACATTATAATATGAAACTGCAATTATGGTCCAGTAGGAAGTCATTTGTAGCTTAGTCATATTTAATCATCTTTGCATAATATTTTTACAACAAAGCAGTGAGTAATGCTGTGATGAGAAAAAGAGAGACTATTGTAGTATTGTGCAGGATAATGCACATTTAACTTTGTGCATCCACTAAGGCATTTTTCACACACACACCTGACGGATGCTTCTGGGTATTTCAAGGCCTAGATTAGTAAGAAGCTAAACAACATGTCACATTACAAGCTGCTACCATCTATTATAGCAGACATTGCAAAGGAGAAGTAGAAATTGAGGAGGAATTCATGAATAAATTAGTCAATCCATGGAGGATACAGTGAAGTTGTTTCTGAACTCAGCATTTTCACCTGGCTTTTCCATTTTCTCATTTTATATACCTGACATCAGAAATAAATATGCCTTTTAACAGCTTCATCATGTAAAAGCCTTTCTCATACTTATTATTATCCCAGCTTTTCTCTGACTAGGTTTAATACTATCAATCAGTAGCCTGGCTAAGTGTTATGACAAGGGCAGGATGACATAATTTGTAATCCTTTATGTGACTTCAAGTTAATCAGTACTATAAATCTAGTTACAAATTCTTTGTAGGTTTTAACTCTTAAAGTGGAAGTGGTTCATTAATAATTTTCTGAGATGTTAGAGCTTCCACAGACTGAGGAAAGTATAGCTGAGAGACTGAGCCTGATGCTGTGTAGTTCATTATTATGTGAACTGGGAGACCCCACCTTCCAAAACTCCAGCCAGAGTATGACTGAGTCTCACAGCAACTGTGGCCAAAGGAACATTTAAAGTAAAAACATTTTCCCATGTCAAATTGTGGGGCCGAGTGAGATCATATTAACCACATCATCGACTATACTCAAATAGAAGCCCCCCTAAAACAAAATATATTCCATTTTTACCCAAGAAGCAATCCTTTGTGATAATGGGCAACTCTACAAATATAATTCAGACCATGTGACACTGAACCTCTCCTGAAACCAATACTAATGTAATTCCTGACAACAGCATTTAGACGACGGGATATAAAAACTCTCCATTGAGGCTGAGACTAATAAAATTATAGCTTAGTGGCAGGTACTGTGGGGAGGTAAAACTCTACACGCAAAGCTAAAAAGTGGAGTATAAAGAGTAATATGAGATGTCACCATGAGACACTTGTAGGAGTGCCTTAGCTTAACTTGAAATACGACACTTATTTTGTGCAGACTGCCAGTGCTCAGTCAATCTGTTTTACATTAATATTGTAGTAGCGACATTTTTGGTTCAGCATTGCAATAAAATGATTCATGTGTGGAGGTTCACATAAACATGAAATGAGACCAGACACCTGCCGGTATATTGAGATGAGTTGTTCTACAAAATGTTGATTTATGGCAGCAAAGGCTGAGGTTTAATTTGCTGAAGTCTACCTCCAAAAGAGAAGATATGTGAGGATAATTACTTATTTAACAACAGTACAAAATGATAGGCAAAAGACATTTTACTCTTAAGGATTCCATATATCTTTTCAACCTGGTCTGTTTTCACTGAGGGGAAGTGAAAACCATGCAAAAACTAGAGTTTGGCTTTGGTGCTCTCAAAATGAAGCCTTTGTTAAACCAGCATTCTTGGGGCTTTTGCCAGGTATCTGACAATCAGGCTTTCCAAAAATGTATTGACATCACAAATGTAGTTGGCAGATGAGTGATGTGTGCGACTATCAAAAGCAGAAAGGTAGCAAACATCTTGACGAGACAAGTTTGTGTATCCACCAACATGGCATCATAAATTATACTGCATTTCATTCACCAAAGAAAGAAAATTTGCAGACCTTGTAAAAATGCCTTCCATATCCTGTAGTTATGACTTACGTTACTTGCTATCTCACAGTTTGAGAAAAAAAGATATTATTAGGCAATGTGGATCTCATAATTACAATAAAAGATTTCATAATTGAGAAGAGATCTAAAGATTAGAATAAAAGAATTAGTACAGATGTCCTACAGTATACTAATACATGCCATTTAGATAACAACAGAGCATAACTATTACATGCTGTTTACATGTTACTATTACATTAGGATTTCCAGAAATCCAGTACAAATACTTTTGCACATTATGTAGTTGTTAATTATTATTTTCTACTCCAGTCTGTCTTTTCACTAGAGAATATCTCACTGACTGTCACTAGTTGTTACTGGATATGCAGTGGTGCAATATCAGTTTGACTAGTAGCCAACACAGTGTTTGATCAGCATCCATTTGTGTTTATATCATCTACTTGTTAGTCTGCAGCTGGGCAATATGCCAATATTATACTTATATTGTGATATGACACAAGGTATCATCTTAGATTTTGGATATTGTAATAACAAAAGTGTTGTTTTTCCTGGGTTTAAAGACTGGGTAACAGTGAAGTGATATAATTTTCTGGAGTTACCAGACTACTCTAGTTGTTCCGTTATTTGCCTTTACCCACATCATATCCACATTACTGCTGATTATTCATCAAAAATCTGTGTAAATATTTTATAAAAGCATCGATAGTCACCCTTATTATGTCACAAAAACATTGACATTGAGATATATGGTTAAAAATATTATAATATTTGATTTTTCGATATTGTCAAGCCCTGATGAATATCAAAATCGTAACGAAAATGCAATTACTATATTTCCTGAGGGAGGGGGGAAATTAAGTTTAACCCTAAAAGAGACTGGCTTTGGAAATCTGTCAAATTACAATATTGTCTTGCGATTGACAATAGCATTTCATGATAGAACATAAACGTGAAGTCAAATAGGCAAGGCACCGTCATTGATTTGTTTATATAATTATGGTGGAAGAAGTGATGAACGGTCAGACCAATGACAGGTTCCCGGGGGACATGTGAGTGCATCTAACCCCAGACAGATTCGCCACCTTCTTCTGTGCAATGCAACAGACTGACATTCAACATCCTGACCGGTAAGCAGCATTGGTGTATTTAATATAATCCCTGGTGGGACCATCTCAGGTCCAACCAAAAATACATTAAATCTAACATTCAGGTTTAATGATTGAAGCTCCAACATCTGACAGACAGACATCCATCTCAACTGAAGTCAGGTGACAGAGCAAAGGACTGTTCACAGGTGGATATCGCTACTTAGTCGTGAAAAACTCACCTATGTGTGTGTCAGTTTGCCCGTGTGGTCCAGGCATCTGTACGCTTATCTGTCTATCTGGTTGCGGAATACATTTTAGGCAAAAAGAGTGCAGACAAGGGAGAAGTTTGGGTTCACAGTCTCGGCTCTGAAGACTTTGTTTACACACTGCGCACGTATCCAAATAATTAATGGGAGCGGATACCGGCGTGGCCGCTGGAGCGGTAGGAGGGGGAGACATTTCCGTGCTGAGTCCGCCAGCAGGAACATCCCCGGCGGTCAGGGTTTCGGCAGCCGTTGGCTCTGCAGTGGTGCTGCTGGTCGTAGCCGGGCTGACGGCGTTGCTAGCGCTACCGTTGGCTTCCCCTCCCGTTCCAGCAGCCCCGCCACTGCTAACGTCTCCACCGTCGCTGGTGGGTGTAGGTGCCTCGTTAGCGTTATCAGGGGGCATTGTTTCTTCGCCGCCCTTTGTATTCGCTTCTATGACTATTACCGCATTGTCGACTTTCGTCTCTGGCTGCTCATTCTCTTGCGCTGAAGGCACTGAGTCCGAATTAGTAGACGGTTCCATATCCTCCTCGCCTTTGTTATCCGCCATCTTCCTTCCTCTTTGAACCGCTGCACGTCCTGCGTAAGTTTTCGACACTAGTACGTATGATGACGTCACGACGTAGACCAAGACCCGCCATTGTTTATTTGCTTGTTTATATGATATAACTCATGATCCTTGATAGATTTGATTGTTATATTGCAGTCTCTGGTCCGTCATTTGTCGTTTTTTGACAATATGTGAAATCTTGAATGTCTGTCTTTGTACCATTTACTTTCTTCATTGGCTTGTTTACTATCTATCTATCTATCTATCTATCTATCTGTCTATCTATCTATCTATCTATCTATCTATCACTTATATATACTAGTCCATACCCATTGAGTGCACAGTTGCCCACGTACACATGGTGTGTTTGGGATACAGGTCATAGGAAATTGCAGATTAAATAGTCAACTGAAGCCATTAAGAAGAGCAATGTATTCAGACAGAGTTTTTGTCTAATTTGAGGTGGCACTTTGAAAGGCAGATAGTTAAAGTGTTTATATGTTGTATTGACTTAAAAGTGGGGCGCACTGGTAGAATGACTGACTGACTGACTGACAGAATGATACACTGACAGTTTCCGTGATTATGTACAGCATACCATACCATGACTTAGTCATACCAAAAATTAGGGAAAAAAAAACAAACATTCGGCCACAGGGGGAGCCACAGCTATCGGTCCCATTTTAGCCATTTTTTAAGCATTTTTTTGTTGTTATAGCGCCACCCAGTTGCAAATTAGAGTTATTACCTCCGCCAAGACGGTTATGTTTTCACCGGCGTTGGTCTGTTTGTCTGTTTGTATTTTCTGCAAAATAACTCAAAAAGTTCTGAACGGATTTTAATGAAATTTTCAGGGAAGGTTGATAATGGGACAAGGAACAGATGATAAAATATTGGTAGTGATCGATTGAAGCGAAGTGGATAAAATAATAAAATGGCAGGAAATCCGAGCTGCTTGGCGGAGGTCTGCGCTCTCCAAGTGCTTTTCTAGTATTTCTCCAGTCACCTTGAGGCGTCCTGTTCTACATGTCTACCAAGTTTAGTAAAAATCAATATGGCGGTTAGGCCTAGATAAGAAATTAGCTCTCTAGCTTCCCCATTTTATTTGATCGGGTCAATAATGGAGGGGTCCCCTCAGATTATGTGTGGTCATATGCCTACAAAGTTGCGTGGTGAAACTCTTGAGATGTTATACACCTTTATGTGATGAGCCACGCCCTCCGCAATATTCATTGCCTTATAGAAGCTCAGTTTTAGTAAGTTTTCCAACTTTTGCCAAGAGGGAACTTTAGATATTGGTCCCTAGATTATGTTCACCGAGTTTCATGCAGATTGATCAAACTGTCTAGGAACAGATCGATTTGAAGTGTTTTTCAAAAAATTCAAAATGGCGGAAAATCTATAAACCCGGAAGTTATGGGTTCTTGATGCAAATTTGTTCCTCATGAGGAGAGGCATCTCTGTGCAAAGTTTCATGTCTCTACGACATACGGGGCATGAGATATGCCCATTGAAAGTTTGCAATTTCAATCGGTTGCTATAGCGCCCCCCTTTGGCCAATTGATGTAATATTGCTTCATTCGCATCCTCCCATGACCCTCTACCACTGTGCCAAATTTCACATGGATTGACCAAGTCAGTGAGAGAGAGTCAGAGTTTTCGTCATTACATAGTAAAATAAGATGTGTGTGTGTGTGTGTGTGTGTGTGTGTGTGTGTGTATACACATACAGTATTTGGTCACTACATTACAATTTAAGACCTTACTTCTGTCATAAATATTTCAGCTGACTGATCAAAGAGTTATTCATCCACACTAGGCATTTGAACACTTAAAGTGAAGATGACCATTTAAACCCTTTCAGATCCCCTGTTCATTCCAATGGACATAACTTTTCTAGAATGTCTAAATCTATGAATACTTTCATCTGACTACACCCAAGTGCACAGGCCAACAGCCCTGATTAGCCCTTGTCTATTCTAGGACTCTGGCACAGACTTAATTTTGATGGGATGTCTGTAAGTCAGTCACAGTGTTCCACATCATTTAAAGTGGACTGCAGTAAAACCATGCCCACTTTTTTAACAAGTATGGCAACGGCAAGGTGGGAAGTGCAAAGCACATTTTAGTCTATAAATCATATACATAATTAGTACATAATTTATATTTAAATTGTGATTGAAATAAGCATTAGATGTTATAGTATTTATACATGTATAAAATATCATACGTAGGATTTACAGCTTTAATGACACAATCTGCATATAATGCATTTATAATGCATTTGATATAAGTTAACCACTCTTGAAAAATAAATAATTTTAATAGTTTTTTTTGTTGTTGTTGTTGTTGAAAACAAGTCTATTAAGACCATTTATTGTCATTTGTCCTATTAGGGGATTTTTTTAGTGTTAGCAATCTTTGTTTGTTGGAATGGACAGAAAAATAGCACACAAAAAAGTATCCTAATCAGGTTTTTCTTTTTTGCTAATAATTTATGAGGGCATTGTGTGTGTGTGTGTGTGTGTGTGTGTGTGTGTGTGTGTGTGTGTGTGTGTTTGGTACATAACTGATAATTGGGTTCTGAGCAAGTTAAGTGATAGCCTAATTAATGGTTTTATTCAATTCAATATTTATTTATTGTGGTTTTATGATTGCCCTTAGGAAATGAATGTGTGAAAATTTGTTGTGTTCAGCCAGCAGATGGAAAACTTCTCTATATACCCCAACACCACACCCAACCCTACCAACCCCATACACACAGGCCAGACCCTGCACCCCCCAACACACACAAATGCAGAAGAGAGGAGCCTTGTTCTTACTCACAAACACACCTGCGTAGCATCAGCTGTAATTCTGACCCAGAGGCAACCTCTTTCTCATTCTGGAGCACCCCCTTTCTCACTTGATCGCGCTGGGGAGCCACCCTTCCAGACTAAGCAATGTAATGTTGGTTATGAGAACATAGCTCTCTCTCTCTCTCTCTTGCAGTGAGATGCACCAACAGACATCAAAACTAGCCACATCTGCCACGAGTGCTATGCTCTACATTTGAACGCACACAAGGACACACATAAATGTATGTTCATATTATTAAAATCTGCTTTTAGGTTGAATTAATGCTTTTTATATAGTTGCCAGTGTTTGTTCTGAATACAGTCAGATCAGATTTTTAGATGGTTTCAAAACTGGCTAAACAGATACCAGGAGGTGATTATCCCACATTTACCTCTGGTCTCAACTGTTGTCAAAATAACATGGAAAATGTACTTTTTTTATACTGAAAAATTAGTGATATATTTTTAGATAAATGAGTTTAGAGCTTGTAATAATGATTAAAAAAGAAGTTGGTTAAAAGATGTCATATCAACTGGTGATAATTTATGTTTGCTTTATGAACAGTTAAAACAGACCCATCAATTTTGGTTGTGAACACCATAAGATTACAATACAAGGGTTAAAGGTCCAGTGTGGATTTAGAGGCATGTAGCGTTGAGGTGGCAGAACTGAAACTTAACCTGTGTGCCAAGCATGTAGGAGAACTACAGTGGTTGATGCAAAAATGTGAATGGCCCTATCTAGAGCCAATGTTCAGTTTGTCCATTCTGGGGTTCTGTGGGAACAGCATGGCAGACTCTGTGGAAGAGGTCTCACTATGTATGTAGATATAGACAGCTCATCTAAGTTAATGGAAACATGATCACAACAATCCCTTTTTCAGGGAACTGCACACTAATGAAATCCATCCATCCATCCATCCATCCTTCCATTTTCTAACTGCTTATCCTCTCAGAGGGTCGCGGGGGGGCTGGAGCCTATCCCAGCTGACATTGGTTGCGAGGCAGGGTACACCCTGGACACTTTGCCAGACTATCGCAGGGCTGACATGTAGAGACAGACAACCATTCACATTCACACCTACGGACAATTAACCTATCCCCAACCTGCATGTCTCTGGACTGTGGGAGGAAGCCGGAGTACCCGGAGAGAACCCATGCTGACACAAGGAGAGCATGCAAACTCTCTTGCTGTGACAGTGCTAACCACCACACCACCGTGCCGCCCCACTAATGAAATCATAGTTGTGAATGTTATTTTCAGTTTCTGCCAGTAGGTGCCCCTATACACTGGACCTTTAAATTTTTCAAGTTTGATGATTTATGCACAACTCACATTAAACAGTGAGCAATAAAGTAAATATTCATACTGTACGCATTGTCAATACTGTGCACAAGTCTCAAGGGTAACAAAAGCTATACAGTGGCGAGAGGCCAAATGACCAGAACAGTTCAGATTCACCTGTTTGAATTCATCTGTTTCTAATTGGAAAAAAAAAATTCACAAAATATTTGCTTCACTGTATTGAAAGGTATAATTGTATTGGTATCAGTGTATTAAACTATGTCTAATCCTACCTATGTATTCTTTTATATTTAATGTTTTTTTGTAACGACTTGTTTGCTCTCATTATAGTGCACTGTGTACTACTAGTTGTACTGTATAGTGTATTATTGTGTATGTTGAACTTTAGTGTATGTAATGTTGTCCTGAATATCTGAATTTTTGTTACATTTTAAACGGTGCACATTTTGAATAGTCTTCAGATATCACAAAGTTGTGCTTCCAGGACTATTTGTCCCATCCTTACACCACAAGAGAGGGAGAGAGAGTAGGAGGCAGGGGTTATGTGTGTAATTAGCACAGCTGGCCCACATCTGGGCCTCATTTTTGTCAGCAATTACATCACCTGCTATATTAGTGCAACATGAGTGTGTATTTAAATGTGATTTGAAATCAAAGCTAATTTAGTTGAAATGTATACAATGTATGAGTAAACTGAGAATATCTTCACATCAGCTAAAGCAGCTCCATAGTTTAAAGTTTGTCAGGGATGTGATTGCATTAGTAGGCCTAACAGAATGAGATTGGAAAAAGTCAAACCGCTGAACACAGTTCAAGAGACTGCTGACATTGCAGCCAATCAGAACAACATGAATTAGCTTAATGAAAGCTGACTTGTTGAAAAGGAGCGCTTACAGGCCGGAGTGAATATTGGCCTTGTACTAAATGGTAGCCGAGTGCTGTGGTTCTTTGCTGAGTCTGCACATTTAGTAGTGAACAATGGTGTTAACAATGGTGTGGTATACTTAAGGATGCATGGATTTAAAACAGAATGTTGTGACCCCCTGACAAAATGTCAAAAGGTTGTTTCCTCCTGGTTCCTCCTCATCAGATTAGTATGGGTTTTTTTTAATGCATCTTTAAAAGTAGCCTTTTAAAAGAGTTACTGTTCACAGTTTGGCATAAGTGTGTTTCTGCATGAATGCATGGAGGAGAGGATTCTCCACAGAGGAGGAAATGGCACTTACATGGCTCGTTGTGTAATTAACATAATATTGATAGATAGTTTGTACATAACCTTTCCATGTTAGTTTTTTGGGGACCATTATGATGTAAAGGAGGACATATTCACTGTCTATAATCTATCTATCTATCTATCTATCTATCTATCTATCTATCTATCTATCTATCTATCGTCACAGGGCAATTTTACACTGGGCAAATTCACACAAGGCCATTGAAATTTATCTCTTCGCCTACCTCTCTTTTCACACAGCAGTTTGGGGGTTTGGTGCCTTGCTTGAGGGCACTTTGGCAGTGCCCAGGGGGTGGACTGGCACAGCTCCAGCTGCTGATCCAGCTGCATATTTGGGACTTGAATTGGTGACCCTGCTGTTTCTGAGCCAGGTCCCCACAGACTAAGCTACTGATGCCAAAAAAATTCATCTATCTATCTACCCTAGGTGAAGATTTTTTTTTTTTTTTTTTTTTACTTTGTTACAAGTCTAATCTTGCCATTTTAACTGTCTCAGAGTGAGGTATAGATTTCACAGCCACCAGGACTGATGCTGGTCGCCGACATTAGCAGTCCAAATCAAAAATACCTGTCAAACAGGTTGAGTATATTGAAAATAGCCATCTACTAATCAAACAAAGTAGGACCAGTCAGCTAAAACCGTTTTCTCTTCAAGCTTGAATGGCATGAACAGCTGTATGCTTGTGTTAACAGTGTCAGTCCCAGCAGAGCTGAGTCATTCTCAAGTAGAAAAACTTGTTGAAGGTGCTGAACCAAACAATATGGCGTTTTAATGCCTTGATTATTTGTTTTAAGTCAACAGTAAAGAAAAATGCACAACAATACAAAGCAAAAGTACCATGCCTTAATTTGGGTTCAACACACAGGATTGACCACTGTTCTTTACACCTTGATCAAGCAGCAGTTACACTCCACTCCGCTAGAGGTCATAAACAAAAACTCACGGCCGGGGTTTCGCCGGATTTTATTTTGAAGGTCGTGACCGGAAATGCTTACTATTAGTTAGCTGGAGAGTGTTTTTTATGAATTGAAGTGAGGCACAAATCAAACAAATTCAACAATATAGACTGATTGAAAATGGCCGGAACGGCTTCAGTAGCTGGTGAAGTGTTCGTCGATGCTCTGCCGTACTTTGACCAAGGTTACGATGCAGCAGGTGTCCGGGAAGCGGTGAGTAAACAGGGAACTTGCTAAACGCAGCGTGTTAGCTAACCACGCTAAACCGGCTAAACCCAAATTGACAAGGGTCACTGTAAAATTGTATGAAGTTACAGCAATTAATTTGACCGAAGTTAGAGCATGCTAATTTGTTTGGTGAATTATTTGGCCGACATTAGATAACCTTAGTCTTTAAAACGTTAGTTGGCTCAGAACTTTTGCGGTTAGGATTGTAACTTGGATACAGTCTATCTGTGGAGACCAATTCAAGCTCGGAAGATTAAATTAACACCATTAGGACATGAGTTTTTCAGCAGAAATGGCGTGCGTTTTCTAAAAAGTGTTACGTTACAGCTAGAAAATCACTTTAAAGCTCTACCTACCGCTGTTTGTACCATATTACCACAGTATATCAATAAATGGACAATAAATGTGCAGCATCGTGGAGCTACATTAGGGTCAAAAGTTTTGTACTTGAAAAAATAAAATTTGAAACTGAAAATTCATGTGTTGATCTTGAATTTTGAAAAATACAACAATGTATTCAAAATAAAAATAAGTGTATGAAACTTTTTTTTTTCAGGTTAAATAAATTTTGATTCACTTTGGTAATTCTTTTAAATAAATAATTTATTTTCACTTTTCACTTCCATATATATTTTAACGTTTGAGGTCTTATTTTTTTCAGTTGCATGTTTTATCTTTTCAGATTCAGATCTGATTTTTTCACTTTCAAATCTTTTTTTCAGTTTCAGATCTTTTTTTTTCAGTTTCAAATCTTTTTTTTTTTTTGAGTTTCAGAGTTTTGACCCTGATGTGGCGTGGGGGGCGTGGCATCAACTGAGAGGGGTGTGGAATCATGAGTGACAGTGCCTTCAGGGAACGTAGGAACTAAAAAAATTCTGACTCAACACTTATGTACACCATATTCATGTGATTGGCAGTGTAAAAATTGATGCCAGTGACAAACTTCCATTTAGAAATCTGTTTTAGACAGTACTGAGCACCAATTGTGGTATAAGAGCGATAAATTATGCCAGATTTTGCAGTTCAACAGCCACATTTTAAGTGCTGATATGTCTGATTTCCACATAGCACTGTGAACGCAGCGTAGTGTCCACTTCGCTTGCGATGATGGGGTCCGGTCGGTCGGGTCAATCTGCTAGAGCCCGTACATCCAGCACACAGGTGAGAAATGTTAACTAAGTTTTGGGAAATCATAACAAACATTAAGGGGTCGTTTTTGTGACAACATACATTTTTTTGTGACATCTTTTAAGTGGTGAATTTGTCAAAGCTGGAAAGTGTGATTGCTCCATCGTCCCGGCCCTGTTGATGCTTCCTCATCCAGACGTGTCCCCTGGATGAAACCTTTGAGCTTGGGGAAAAGGAAACAATCCTAAAACACCTCCCTACTCACCTGACCTGGCTCCAGGTGATTTTTGTGGCTCCAAGGGATTTTTTCCCCAAGCTTGACCTTGGGGAAAATATCACGTAGAGCCAGGTCAGGTGAGTAGGGAGGTGTTTTAGGATTGTTTCCTTTTCCCCAAGCTCAAAGGTTTCATCCAGGGGACACGTCTGGATGAGGAAGCATCAACAGGGCCGTGACGATGGAGCGGTGGAAATGTATGTTGTCACAAAAACGACCCCTTAATGTTTGATTTCCCAAAACTTAACATTAAGTTAACATTTCTCACCTGTGTGCTGGATGTATGGGCTCTAGCAGATTGACCCGACCGACCGGACCCCATCATCGCAAGCGAAGTGGACACTACGCTGCGTTCACAGTGCTATGTGGAAATCGGACATATCAGCACTTAAAATGTGGCTGTTGAACTGCAAAATCTGGCATAATTTATCGCTCTTATACCGCAATTGGTGCTCAGTACTGTCTAAAACAGATTTCTAAATGGAAGTTTGTCACTGGCATCAATTTTTACACTGCCAATCACATGAATATGGTGTATATAAGTGTTGAGTCAGAATTTTTTTAGTTCCTACGTTCCCTGAAGGCACTGTCACTCATGATTCCACGCCCCCCACGCCACATCAGGGTCAAAACTCTTAAACTCAAAAAAAGATTTGAAACTGAAAAAAAAGATCTGAAACTGAAAAAAAGATCTGAAAGTGAAAAAATAAGATTTGAAAGTGAAAAAATAAGATTTGAAACTGTAAAAAATAAGATCTGAATCAATCTGAAAAGATAAAACATGCAACTGAAAAAAATAAGACCTCAAATGTTAAAATATATATGGAAGTGAAAAGTGAAAATAAATTATTTATTTAAAAGAATTACCAAAGTGAATCAAAATTATATTTAACCTGAAAAAACGTTTCATACACTTATTTTTATTTTGAATACATTGTTGTATTTTTCAAAATTCAAGATCAACAAATGAATTTTCAGTTTCAAATTTTATTTTTTCAAGTACAAAACATTTGACCCTAATGTAGCTCCATACAGCACAGTATATACCAAACTAGTACTTTGTGAAAATGTGAAGTATTAGTGACACATAGTGAACTTGGGGCCTTGGGGGCCCCTGTTGGCCATTTTGTAGGATTGCTTATCCAACCTTGCCTGAGCACATTGTGTTATTGACCTTATTAAAATGCCATGCATTTGTTATTAACCTTAATAAGATGCAGTGGCTCTGGGTTCTATTTAGGGGCCAGACCAGTCTTCACACAGCTGATGGAACATATAGACCTTTTTTACAACAGACATCTTCACACTTGTTTTTAATATTATAAATACAAATTAAACTTTTGGTATCCTTCTAAAATAATACAATCACTTGCCTTTTCAGTTCACTAGATACAATTTGCTGCAATCTAAATGGCTGAAGTGAGATGAACAGAATGAAAACTTTGTCTTTTGGAGACGTAATTAGCAGTTGAAATCACAATATATCACAGAATATTTTATTACAATACTCTGCATATTGCAAAATGTTTAGAATTACAAGAATATTGTATAATGACACAAGTATCATGATAATATCATATTGTGGGGCCTCTGGTGAATCCCACCCCTCATCATTAATAACATTGATAGTTGCTCATGCATTGCAGTTATCAAAGAGTAGAAATATTGAGCTGTGACGAGATCTGTATCTTTCTCCTGCATGGTTTGAATGAGCTTGTTGTTAGTTGCTTTGGTTCTGCAAAATGAATGTAATATTTGTAAGGGCTGCTGTGCAAAGGTCTTCCATTGCAGCACTGTAGCTGATACTTGCCACCACTTCAACATCCATTAAATGTTAATATGGTTGTGGTTACTGCAGAATACCTCAGAGAACAAGACTTAAGACCTTCTTATTGCGTGATCAATAATCAGTCATCACACCTAAAATTGACCGGTTTGATCACTCTTAATGATGTGTGCATTAAGCAGCTCTTCCGACCATTGTCAGAGAGATATTGTGACATGTAAGAGTAGAAAAAGCACAGATCTGACAAACAACATTATTGATGAGTCTGTTCTATTTAGATGAACCAGTAAGCCATGAAGTAGTCAGCCAGTATTTACCAGACAAGAGAGCTGGCACTGCTAAGCCTAGTTTTACGCACCTTTCTTAAAACTGCAGGTTACAAGATCCCAGTAATGGATAAACAATTTCTTCAATACTCCTATGATACACCCACAAGAATGAGTGTACAGTGTCTGCATAGAGGAGTGAAGTTAACTTTTTTTGTTCCCCCAAAAACCCAAAGTATCCATCTCAACTGAAAAGAGTTGATGCTTTTGCAAGTTAATTATGACGCGCACAAGGCTCTCTCTTTATTCTTTTCCTTCCTACAAAGAACAGTTGCTCATTTAGAGGTTAATGACTTGGCTTACTCCTGATTCCTGGGATAGACCTCTCAGGGCAGAGGCATCAATAAAAGAAGCTTAAATTCGTCAAGAGACTTGCAAAAAGAAACAAAGACATTTCTTCAGATCCAGCTGGAGAAGCATTGGTCACCTTCGCCCACTCTATCATCTCTTAGATCTGGGTGTTGGGTAGTATGAATATGTAAAGAATTCTATTTCGAGGGCCTGTTAATGCAGTGCATACAGTAACCTTTTCTACGCTTAGTGAAAAGTAATCTCCAAGCTCCAGGGCTGTGCGGTGTAGGAGCCTCTATCCATGTGGGTTATTTTGAGCTTTTTTTTGTTGTTGTTGTCACATTTATTTACTTACGCTTCAGGGATGTCTCATCATCCATCAGTCTGTCATGTTAATAGCCTAAGGCCTCCTTACATCAACCAGACAGGATATATAAAACATTGTTTTCTTTGAACTCAGAATGATCTGTCATCATCCATGTGTTATTGTTTAATTGGGTTCATGGGTGTCCAAGTACACACTCTACGCTATCACAATGAAATATTTCAACTTCGGAGAAAAAACTAGTATAATTCCTCGTGTCAGTCAGATTGTTTTGTGTCATGGACCCCTGAATTGATATACATTAGCTCACAGGCCCTATTTCTTAAGATTTCAGAGTGTGTATGTCCACCTGTTTTATTCTGTATCTCCTCTCTAAATTCAGAGGTTTTTCTGGGTCTTTGAACACAGCGCAGGCGAAACTCTTCAAGTTATTTTCTTCCTCAGCAGCAGTTTGAGTTGGAAAAATGATCAGTCGATTCAATAAGTGCTGTTCAGATTGATTGATGAGAGGAGCAGCTGCTACAGAGGCGAGTGAAAGTGAACTTTTAGACCCAGTGCAATGAGTGGTCAAATTTCAATTTCACTGCTCCGGGTGTTCTGCTGCTCTGTCCGTACCCGTACACACTGTGCTTTAAGAGTGTGGTGCAATGAATAACTGAACGATATATACAATCCAGTAGCACTCCTGAATGGTCCAGCCCCAAAAATAAAAGATCAATATATGGTGGCAGATGTTATCGTGGTGGGCTGCCACAAACAAATGAACGTGTGGGAAACCCTGTAGAATGTAGGATTTCAGCAGGATCTATTGGCAGAAATGGAATGTGGTATTCATGATTATGTTTTCATTAGTGTATAATCATCTAAAATTAAGAATCTGTGTGGTTTTCTTAACCTACAATGAGCTCCTTATATCTGTGTAGCAAGTGGGTCCTCTTCCACCATGTAACCTCACCCCCGCCATGCTCCTGCAGTAGCCCAGATAGGACAAACCAAACACTGGCTTTGATAAGACCATAATCAGTTGGTTGCAATCTGCAGCCTCACTGTTAGTAGATACCACTAAATCCCACAAACTGATGCTTTAGCTTTTTTTAAGAGATGACATGACACAAGTGCATCTTCAACCACAGAGTGAAACAAGCTGATGTAGTCTTTTTAGTCTCTGATTGGCTAGAGCCAAAAGATAAAATGATGGGGAAACAATAAAAA